CGATTCTCCTGCAGCCACAGTATTTTCTATTGGAGACGTGTGACGTGCGCCCTCCCTCCAAACCCACCCGCGGTTGGCCACTGTGTTCCATGAGCTCTGAGCACCCCCTAAAGCCCTGTGAGCCTCAAGGGCCCAGAGCACCCCTGCTTGTGAGCCGCGTGTGGCCACTTGGAGCTGGGGAGGTGCCGTGCAAGAGGAGCAAACCTCCACGGAGGACGTTTCCTCAGCAAGCCCCGCATCCCTCCAGGTCTGATGCTGAGGGTCCTGGGAAATTGTTCACACACCCTCCTGTCAGCTGCTACTAACCTAGGGCCCACGGGGAGGGCTCTTGGATGGACACCAGATGCTTCTACATGAGGGAGGGCACCGAAGCTAACTGAGTGTTCACTTAGAACCCAGCTGTGGTGCTGACGTGTTATTTCGTTCACCCCCCCAAGTGACCCCTGATGTAGGTAGCAGAGGTGCAGACAGGTGACTCTAGCCGTTGTCCCACTCCAAGCCACCATCTTCTCTCACCGGACACCCCCATGTCCTGTCCCCCAAACAGCCTCAGGGCTGCTTCCTTCCGGGGGGGGGGGCATCATCCAGGACCAGCCCAGTGATTTGGAAAAAATAAAATGCAAATCTGACCACACCTCTCCCCTGCTTCTCAATGATCTTAGGAGGAAGGTGGAAGTCCTTAACCGGACCCTCAGGGTCCTGCTTGCCTGGCCCCTGCGTGTTCTCCAGGTCCCTTCCGGCTACCGGGGACCACACTTCAGCCACTTCTCCCTGTCACTCAAAGGAGCACCAGCTGCCTTCTCTCCTCTGCCTGGAACGCCTCTCCGTTGTGCGCCCCCTAATCACACGTGTGCACACCTGTGCACGCACCTGCACACACCACCTAGCTGCCTCACACTCGTTCTGGGTCTCAGCCTCACTGTCACCTTCTCATGGAGGCTGTTCTGACAGCTGCTTCCCCGAGAGTCTAGGTTAGTTCCTCCTGTTGTCCCTCTCATCGCCCCCTGTACTTCTCCTGAAAAGGTCACTTTGCACAACCATCATTCTATACTTGTCTGTGTTTGTAGCTCGTTGTCTCTCCCTCTAGCGCACAAGCTCTGGGAGAGCGGACCTGTGTCTGGCTTCATCGCTCCCCGTGCCCGGTGCCTGGCACAGTGCTGAGAACAGGCACGTGCCCCAGACAGCAAGCACCTGGCTAGATGCAAACCTCAAGGTCCAGACCCTTCTGCCTGCCTGAAGCTCCATAAACCCCCACGCTGCCCACCATTCCCACCTGCATCCCCATGGCCTGGGCACAGAGGTGCTCGCCCCTGGGGCCGTTTCTGGGAGCAGGGAAGAGCTGAGAGGGGTGCTGACCCGACCCTGGTGTTACCAGCAGCCCCCTGGCCTCCCCTTTGGCCAGTGTCATCCCAGGGGATCTGCACCCCGGAGGCACGTCTGTTTCTAACAAAGGGCAGTGGGTCCTTCTGCAGGTCCCGCCCTGGGGCCCACAGTACTCAGTTGCCACCCAGAAGGGCGTGTGGGACAGCGGTTCCCTCGTGGCCCACGGCTGTCGTGATGCAAGTGGGAGCGTCCTCAGGTACGCGGCTTATTTATCCAGAAGGCTGAGGGGAGCACACTCTCCCCAGGGGTGCACGAGCGGAAGGGACCTAACGGTGCTGTGGACTCGGGTCCAGCTGCTGCTCTGCCACTGTCCGACCCTGCTCAGACGTGTCCCCGCACCCAGGCCTCCACCACCATTCCACATGCCACAGCCACGGTGGGTTCTCCTGGCAGCCTCTGGTTCTCCGATGAGGCATCTTGGTTTGGTTTTGACCCCTTGGGACATACTAAGCGACAGGTTCTAGGTGAGGCTGGTGAGTGAGGAGGTGAAGGTCGTGAGGACAAGCAGTGAGGGTGCTGCATGCACCCTTGCCCAGCGATGTGTGCCCGGCGATGTGTGCCCAGGGATGTGTGCCCGGCGATGTGTGCCCAGCGATGTGTGCCCAACGACGTCTGCCCAGCGACGTCTGCCCAATGACGTGTGCCCAGCGACGTGTGCCCAGCGACGTGTGCCCTGCGATGTGTGCCCAGGGATGTCTGCCCAGCGATGTGTGGCCAGCGATGTCTGCCCGGCGATGTGTGCCCGGCAATGTGTGCCCGGCGACGTCTGCCCAGCGACGTGTGCCCGGCGACGTGTGCCCAGCGACGTGTGCCCAGGGATGTCTGCCCAGCGATGTGTGCCCAGCGATGTGTGCCCAGTGATGTGTGCCCAGGGATGTCTGCCCAGCGATGTCTGCCCAGGGATGTCTGCCCAGCGATGTCTGCCCAGGGATGTCTGCCCAGCGATGTCTGCCCAGGGATGTGTGCCCAGGGATGTGTGCCCAGCGATGTGTGCCCAGGGATGTGTGCCCAGCGATGTGTGCCCAGGGATGTCTGCCCAGGGATGTCTGCCCTGTGATGTGTGCCCAGGGATGTGTGCCCAGGGATGTGTGTCCAGCGATGTGTGCCCAGGGATGTGTGCCCAGGGATGTGTGCCCAGCGATGTCTGCCCAGCGATGTGTGCCCAGCGATGTGTGCCCAGCGATGTGTGCCCAGGGATGTGTGCCCAGGGATGTGTGCCCAGCGATGTGTGCCCAGGGATGTGTGCCCAGCGATGTGTGCCCAGGGATGTCTGCCCAGGGATGTCTGCCCTGTGATGTGTGCCCAGGGATGTGTGCCCAGGGATGTGTGTCCAGCGATGTGTGCCCAGGGATGTGTGCCCAGCGATGTGTGCCCAGCGATGTGTGCCCAGCGATGTCTGCCCAGGGATGTGTGCCCAGGGATGTCTGCCCAGGGATGTGTGCCCAGCGATGTCTGCCCAGCGATGTGTGCCCAGGGATGTGTGCCCGGCGATGTGTGCCCGGCGATGTGTGCCCGGCGATGTCTGCAGGGCCTCCTCTCCTCCCCGCACCCGTGCCACAAAGGCCATCCCTCCGCAGCACCTCTATCCACAGGGAAGGTTTCTGATCCCAGCAGTGACCCACCTTTACCAGCATGAACAAAAGTTCAAGTCCTACTGCAGTGAAGGAATGTTCTTCGGAGATCACCGTCCTGGCAGCTCCCTGAGGGGTCCCTCCATGTGCCGGGGCTGTCGGGAAGCTGTGACTTTGTCCGGGACATTCCATTGGATGGATCCTCCTCTCTCAGTCAGGTTTCTACACCTTGGCTCTGCTGACATTCTCACGTCGCGGGCCTGTCCGGTGGGCTGCGGGGCTGTGAGCGGCATCCCTGGCCTCCACCCACCGGTGCCGGCAGCTTCCCTGCAACCAGCATGTCCATCCAGCAGGCCCCCCGGCATTGCCCAGTGTTCCCCTGGGGGCAAACCACCCCCAGTTGACACCGCTGCTCTCTGGACAGCTCCGGGCTCCCTGTGTCCTCGCATGGTGAGGGGCCATCACGGGGGGGGGGGGGCACGTGACACGTGGACACCCTCTGCCTGGAGCCTCTCCCTGGGAGACCTGGGCGCACGAGGGCTGAGGTCCGGGTCTGCCACTCGCCCGTGAGACGCGGGCAGCTTGGTCCCTGCCTCTGGTCTCTCTGGGCACACCCCCGACTCGGGGCGGACAGAGGGGACAGCACGCCTTCCAGGCGCTTTTCAAGTTCAAGCGCCCAATAAATGTGACCCGTGACGATGAGTTTATCGAGGTCTAGCCACAGTGGACACTCAATTTTTTTTTTTTTAGTGGGCACAAGGGCGGCTGGCCTTGGGTCTCTCCCTCGTAAGATTCTTTTTTTTTTTTATCCTCACCCGAGGTCATTTTTCGATATTTTGTTCAGATAGAGCGGGAGGGAGAGAGAGGAAGAGAGAGAGAAACATTGATGTGAAAGGGGCACATCGAGTGGCTGCCACCCGCACGACCCAACCAGGGCCGGGGACAAACTGCAACCGAGGTACATGCCCTTAGCGGGAACCGAACCCGGGTCTCTCGGGACTGCAGGCCGACGCTCTAACTGCTGAGCCAAACCGGCCAGGGCTCCCTCATAAGATTCTTAACACAGGCATTTAAAAAGGGGTCACACCTGACACCCAGAGTGAATGGTGGTCGGGGACTCCCCCTGGGACAAGGCCGGCTCTGACGTGCCCTCTTGCCTACGACATTTCTGGCGATGGTCACCGAACGCTCTGCTGTGCCGCAGTTTCAGGTGCCCCAGGGCCTGGCCCGTGGGTGACAGACGGGCTGGGAGTGAGCTGCCCGGCCCCCTGCCCCCGCCTGCCGCTCACTCGCTCTGTGACCCGGGCAGTCCCCACACCCCCCTGGACCCTGGTCTTCCTCTGTGTAGTAAGACAGTCAGCACACGGACCTTCCAGGACTTTCAGAAATAACTACTCCAGACAACACGAGACGCTCCCGTCAGGATGCGTAGTAAGCACTACTGTCAGCCTCGTTATCAGCCATTTAATTTACAGGAATTAAGGTCATAGAAAGCTCGCAGAGCAGAAGAACAGCTCGATTTGTGGATGGACCCTGACCTCCCCGGAGGGAACCGTGCCCGGGGACGCTGCTAGGCAAGACCTTGAGAGGGGACAGACTCCTGTTCGGGCTGTAAGTGGACGGGGAGGGTCAGGGAGAAGGAGAGCCCCCCACAGGTCTGTCTGAAGCTCCGCCGTGGCCGTGATGAGCCCAAGGGAGGCTGGGTCAGCCGGTGGACAATGACTGGCCCACAAAGCCCTGGAGAAGCGGAAGGGCGCGCAGGGCCAGGCTGAGAGCCGGTGAGGCCTGAGGGGGAGTTGGCCGCGGTGGCTGGGAGGGGCTCCTGTGCCAGGGATGAGCCCTGCCCCTCCCCTTCCAACAAGGGCTCTCTGGGGACAGGCTCAGTGAGGCAGTGTGGGCCAGCGATCGTGGGGTGTGGGGGCTGGGTCAGGGTCCCCTTGCTCCCCCTGTCCTCCCCTCAGTGACACTTTAAGGAAGGAGCTCAGCTCCCCACTTGTAGAACCAGCTGGAGGCGCCCCTGCGGGGGCTGCAGGCAGGGCTGACCTTTTAGGTCGGAGTCTCTTCAGGGGCTCCCTCTTCCTCCACTTCTTCCTCTCCCTCCACCTCCTCCTCAGTCTCGTGACTTGGTTGTTTCTGCTGAAGAAAGAGCGCAGAGTCCCTGGTGGGGCAGGCCTCCCTGCACCGGGAGCTCATCCCTGAGGCCGAAAGCAGCCGACTGGCTGCGGTCTGTGCCAGCGCCGAGGCCACGGGAGCCTGGCGGGTGCTCAGAGCCAGGGGTGTGGTGGTGGGGACAGCAGGGGAGTCCACAGGCCCAGGTACAAGTCCTGCTTTCGGCACCTGCTGCCTGGGTGGCCTCGGCTAGCTCCTCCTGAGTGTCCGTGGTCCCCTCCCCTGTGCTCCCCACAGAGCTGTGGCTGGGACTGGAAATGACGACTGTAAGGACCGGCTGGCCAAGCACAGAGACCGAGAGAGTCAGACGTGGGGAGGGAGCAGGAGGAGGGGCCGAGTTCTGCGAATGTAGCCCCTCCTGAGGCCCAACTTCTTCGCCTCGTGTGCTCAAGCTCCGTGAGGAGCACCTCTGGGGGGGGCCTCCAGCACGGGGACCGTGGCCTGTGAGGCGCACTGCACTGTGGCAGGTGGCCGGCGTGGGCACCGCTGCCCGCAGGGCTGGCGAGCTCAGAGCTGGTGGGCACGGAGCCTGGGCTCTGGGTCCAGCCTCTCCTCTGCCTAAGTGGAGGGAGGGCCCTGGCGCACCTGTGGCGCACAGGTGGTGTGAGAATAAAGCCACTCCGACCCAGACTTCCGAAAGCAAAACGCACCTGCGAGTTCCCAGCCCGGCCCTAGGCCCAGGGAGAGGGAGACAGAGGGGGAAGAAGCCAGGGAGGGAAGCAGCTGTCCTCTCCCTGGGCCCATCACCCTCACCCCTCCTGCCCGAGCCTTGCCACACGGCTCTCGGAGCAGGGCCGGCTTCCGGGTGGCACCCTGTGCAGTCGCACGAGGACCCCACACCTGCGTCCACGTTCTGCTGTCATCGTCTTGAAATTCCCAGGACATTTTGAACAAGGGGTCCCCCATTTTCTCTGTGCGCTGGGCCAGGCCCCAGATAAGAGCACTGGCCATGGCACAGGGTGGACAGGCACATGTGTTCCCGTCCTTCCCGCCCGCTCGGGTGCACTTTCCCATCTGGGCAGCTCATCTGTGGGCCTCGCGGGGCAACGACCAGACTGACAGCGCCCCCTCTTCCTCTGTCCCCGGAGGGCGGCCAGACACCTCTTTAGGGTTGATCTCCTCATTTGGGGAATGAGAATGGAAGGAACAAGAAGTGAAGTGGCTCAATGGTTGGAGCAATGGCCCTCGGACCGAAGGGTCTCGGGTTTGATTCCCGGTCAAGGGCACGTAGCTGGGTTGCAGGTTTGATCCCCAGCCCCAGGTGGGTTCGTGCAGGAGGCAACCAGTCGGTGTGTCTCTCTCACATCGATGTCTCTCTCTCTCTCCCCCTCCCTTCCACTCTATCTAAAAATCAATTGAAAAATATTCCCGGGTAAGGATTAACCAAACAAAAAGAAGAGAGAGAGAGAAGAGGTGAAGAGGTCACTACCGGCCCAGTTGCTACAGCCAGACAGTGCTTAGAGCTGGGCCATGAATACAGGGGCTCCGCCCAGGTCACAGCCCCTGACACCAGAACGCCCTCCACGGCGGGTGTCACAGCCCCTGACACCAGAACGCCCTCCACGGCGGGTGTCACAGCCCCTGTTCGCAGCCCTCGCAGCTCACTTTTTTTTAAAATCCTCACCAGAAGATATTTTTACATTTATCTTCAGACAGAGTGGGAGGGAGAGAGAGAGGGAAACATTGATGAGAGAGAGACACATCGACTGGCTGCCACCCGCACGAACCCAACGGAGGCTGGGGACGAACCACAACCGAGGTACGTGCCCTTGACCGGAACCGAACCCGGGTCTCTTTGGTTCGTGGGCCAACGCTCTAACCACTGAGCCAAACCAGCCAGGGCACAAGGCTCACTCTTATCTGACACCTCCCGTGGCCCCTGATGCTCGTTAAGTTGGTCACTTGCATGTTCAAGGCGCCCCCTGAGGTGGGGAGAGGAGGATCCCGACATGGACCCCTCCAGAGGCTGGGTCAGCTTGGAGCCAAGGTTCCTCTGGAGGAAGGTGCCATGCCTCCCATTTGCCAGCGGGGCAAATTCAGGCCCCCCTGATATGGGCGCTTGCTCGAGGTCACCCAGGTGCATGCCTGCCGCCCGCCCCGCCGCCCGCCGTACCGCTGCGGGCTGCTTCTTCATGGCCTCCCTCTCCTCCTTCTTCAGCTCTGCGAAGATGATGTCGAAGAACTCCTGCTCGGCCGCGGCCACCAGCTCCTGCAGGTCGGCGGCCTCCTCCTCCTGCAGCTCGTCATCCCTGCCCTCCGCCTTGCCCTTCTCCTTCAGGCGCATCTCGCGGTGCCGGGCCTCCAGGATCTTCTCCCGCCGCGTCTCCCGCTCAAAGATCTGGGCGCGGTGTCGTGATGGATCTCAGCCCCCAGTGCCCCTCCCTGGGGCAGTCCCCTGCCATCTGCCTCCTCCACTGGAAGTCTCCTACGCCTTCGTTTGATAGGTTCTGCTGCTATATATATATGGTTTGAGACCAGACCCACTGAGCTACTCAAACCACTTGATTGACACTGGAGAACTGAAGCCTGCAGTGGTAAAGTGACTTGCCCAAGGCCACTTGGCTACTTAGTGGTTAAGCCGGGGAGGATTCAGACCCCCCCTCCCCAACACCCATTCACAGTTCTCATTTCAGGACACCGCGCTGCCTCCCCAGAATGGCCACCCACTCCCCAGGAGGCGAGAGGGAGCGGCCACACGTGTTCCTCTGACTGGTCTGTTCACAGGGACCAGGTCAGGACAGGAGCCGGAGTGCACCTTGGCCCCGGCACCGGGCACTTACAGAGGAAGCCATGTTCTTCTCATTCCTCTGGAGGCTGCACAGCCCCTGCGACACCTCCAGCAGTGTGGTTGTCCCCAGCTGGGAGCCGCAGGCGATGAAACACCCGTTGTCCTGCACCCGGAGGCAGGAGAGGGCCTCGTCACACACCTGTGGGAGGGCCCGACAGACCAATGGAGGAGGAGATTGTCTGGCTCCTGGGGAAGCTTAGCCAGCTGGCCCCATTCAAACGCCCTTGGTGACTCCCCCGACCCACAGGATGACCTACACACTCTGCGGTTGGCTGTAAGGGCCCTTTGACTGCCCCGCCCCCAGCCTCATCATCTACCTGGCCCCACCCCCCCACTCCCCCTCCAGCCTCACAGTCACCCACCAGGGCCCCAGGGCCTGGATGCCTGGGGAGGGGGTTGTGCATGACCTTCAGGCTGAGGGCAGGGTCACACTGCTTGAACACAAAGTCCCAGATGTCCAGGGTCCCGTCCATCTTGGTGGTGAAGAAAACCGCCGGCCGCACCGGGCTCCAGGCGCCATCCGTGAGGTAGGCCATGTGATACCTGCGGGGAGCCGTGCCAGCAGTCGGGGACCACTGCGGTTGAGGGGGATGGGGAGGCTGCTGAGCCCCGGCTGAGCCCCCAGCCCTCCCTCCCTGGCAGCAGAGTCTCACTGTTGGCTGACGTCTGGCCATGCCAACCTCACCCACCCACAGCTCACAGGCTGCACTTTAAAGGCTTTGGGTTGGTCCTTCCCATGGGCTGGCCACTGGCATTTGCCCACAGCTAACTGCAGGGAACAGGCATGTATTGCTGGATCTGGGCCCAGTGGCCCGTCCTGGGACTCACTGAAGGAGTGGGGGGCAGGATGTGCCCAGGAGAGCTCCTAACACGGAGCTCAGGAGAGTGTCATATTCCTGCTCGGTCCGATCTAGACTCCCAAAGACCCCTGCAGTGAGGCGTGCAAGGGGACCCCTGTCTTACAGCGCAAAAACCAACTCGCCAAGGATTAGAGGCTTAGACCTATGACCCGAACCTGTAAAACCAGAAGACAATACTGGGAGAAAATCCTTGACATTGGTCTTGGCGGTGACGTTTTGAACCTGATGCCAAAAGCTCAGGCAACGAAAGCAAAAATCAGCAAGAGGGGACCGCACCAAACTAAAAAGCTTCTGCACGGCAAAGGAAATAGTCAACAAAATAAAAAGCCTACGGAACGGGAGTGAATATTTGCAAACCATATGTCCAACAAGGGGTTAATATCTAAAATATATAAGGAATTCACACAACTCAATAGCAAAAAGCAAAAAAGCCAATTAAAAAATGGGCAAAGGGCCTGAGCAGACATTTCTCCAAAAAAGATAAACAATACAAATGGCCAACAGGTATAGGAGAAGGTGCTCGCATCACTCATCATCAGAGAAATGCAAATCAAAACCACAATGAGATAATACCTTGCCTGTTACAATGGCCGTTGTTAGAAAATCAAAAGAGAGGATGCGGAGGAAAGGGGACCCTTTATCACCGCTGGTGGGTATGTAAATTGGTGCAGCCAATATGGACGTTCCTCAAAAAAATGTGTCTACTGGGCCTTTTACCATAAAGGTCCTGAGTGTTTACAGGCGAAGTAAAGGATTGAGTGAATAACATACGACATGAGTCTGGAAGAGCCCCCCTCAACTTCAGCTACTTCCTGCAAAATCGGGCTCCACCGTACACCTGAGCTCATGATATCTTTATTCACGACAGCTCAGAGGTGACAGCAACCCAAGTCTCCAGCAACATAGAAATGGATAAACAACATGTGGCGGCCACCTTGGAGACTAGGAACAAGTGACTTTGCCGCCCTGTAGCTTGGTTCCCGCACGCAAACAGTAAGGTGCACAGAGAACAGTGCTACCCACTCCCAGCGTTGTTTGAGGGTTACGGAAATTCGTCACTGCTGTTATCATTGCTAACCCATGTGGTCTGAAGCATATTCCTTTGTGAAAGGGCTGAATCAAGCCACTTCCTAGCACAAGCTCGGGTGTTTGTGGAGGCCCCGGTCACCCCCGGGCTGGGCTGGGCCCCCTCTGTCCCCTCTACCCTCCTGCAACCCTCTCCCACTCCCAAAAGTTCCCTTACTTGGTCCACATGATGGACGACTCACGGCTCTCCTCTGACCAGATGCGGGCGGTCCAGTCGCCGATGGTCAGGAAGTTCTTCGGGTAGAATGGATTCCTCTGGAGGGCGTAGACGGGGCCGTGGTGGCCGGGGAAGGTGCACACGATCTTCTCGGCCGGTGTCTTGGCCTTGCGGTTGCAGGAGATGACAATGCCTTGCTCGGTGCCCACCATGAACTTGGTTGGCTGTGCAGGGGGGGACACAGGAGTGGGAGGTTCCATGAAACATCGGCTGGGGGGTTAGCTGGCATGGTGAGCAGCCTTTTGGGGTGGACCTTTGGTTTAAGCTTCTGCTCAGGCTGTGTCCCACCTGCTCCTAGGGAGCTACCCCCCGTTCCCATCTTCATCAGACCCCACGCTTCTTGAGACCCTGCTCCAGGGCCCGTGCTTCGTGAGGGCTTCTTGACACCCCAGCTCTGGAGACCCTCGTTAGCAACCCTCCTCACTGTGCCCACGAGGCACTCTGCCGTAGGTCCTGAATAATATAAAACATCAGTCTAGAACAGCTCCCCCCACAAGTCCACCTGCTCCCTGGAAAACTGGGTTATACTGTACACCCGAGTTCATGGCAGCATTATTCCCAACACCTCAGCGGTCAAAGCAACCCAAGTGTCTAGTGACAGATGGACGCATGGACAAAATGTGGTCTATCCGTCCAAGGGGATACTGTTCAGCCTTTAAAAGGAAGGAAATTCTGGCACATGCTACGGTGTGGATGAGCCGTAAGGACATTCCGCTAAGTGGAATAAGCCATCATAAAAGGGCAAATACGGTGAGAATCCGCTTAAGTGAGGTGCCTGGGGGCGTCAGTTCACAGAGACAGGAAGTAGAAGGGGCTGGGGGTGGGCGATGGGGAGCTGTTTAATAGCTACAGTACAGGGTTTCGGTTTTGCAAGATGAAGAAGTTCTGGAGATTCGTTGCACAACATGTGAATGTACTTATTAACCCTACTGAATTGTACACTTAAAAGTGGTGAAAATGGTAAATTTTATGCTAGGAGTTTTTGACTACAATTAAAAAAAATAGCCGTGCCCTGGCCAGTTTGGCTCAGCGGTTAAAGCGTCGGCCTGCGGTCCGGAGAGACCCAGGTTTGGTTCCCGCTAAGGGCACGTACTTCGGTTGCAGTTTGTCCCCGGCCCTGGTTGGTCGTGCTGGTGGCAGCCACTCAATGTGTCCCTTCACGTCGATGTTTCTCTCTCTCTCTCCCTTCCTCTCTCTCCCTCCCACTCTATCTGTACAAAAAAATGGAAAGATATCCTCTGGTGAGGATAAAAAAAAAAAAAAATAGCTGGGCTACAAGTGGGGGGTCAAAGGAAAATGAAGAGAGAGCGTGAGAGGCCCAGGAGAATAACAAAGTGAGCTGCAGGGCTCCTGCACGCTAGCAGGGGAGAAGAGCGACCCAGTCTGATGGCCCATCTGCCTCCAGCCTCACTCAGGGGGTGGGGGGGAGGGGTGCATGGGTCGACGCTGAACCACTGAGCCACATGGCCAGGCATCACCTTTCCTTTTCTTTTTTTTTTTTTTATCCTCACCTGAGGACACTTTTTCATTCTTTGTTCAGATAGAGCGGGAGGGAGAGAGAGAGAGAGAGAAACATCGATGTGAAAGGGACACATCGAGTGGCTGCCACCCGCACGACCAACCAGGGCCGGGGACAAACTGCAACCAAGGTACGTGCCCTTAGCGGGAACCGAACCCCGGTCTCTCCGGACCGCAGGCCGACGCTCTAACCGCTGAGCCAAACCGGCCAGGGCACCTTTCCTTTTCTTTACTGTTCCTTCTCCGTTACTGCACTCTGCAGTTATGCCTGTGCTGTGGGTTTCCTGGGAGCCGCCTCTTCCTTCTCCACAGGAAGTGCAGTGACCAGGCCAGAGTCTGACGCAGGGCGGAGGCACAGCCTGGCCTCCTGCTGCTGGTCCTGGGCCGGCCTCTCACGAAGAATGGGGCTTTTCTAGAATCTGGCCCAGTCTGGAAGCTTGCCTTCTGTTCAGCCCAGCCACCAGCCCTGACTGCTTGGGAATGAGAAGGACTTGCTTCCTCAAGAAGCTCTGCTGCCCCCTGCTGGAAAGGTGTTGTAAAGACCACCCAGGTCCAGGATGATGCTTCTTGGAGATGTGCCGGGCACAAGGTGAGCAGCTTTGGGGGTCCCCCAGCATCAGATACACCAGCCACGGCCTGCTCTCGGCTCGGGGTGCCCTGGCTATAGAAGTAGGGGAAGAAAGGGGAAGGAACACTCACCAGAGTAGACTCGAACTCCAGGGAGATGGCCCCCAAGGCATTTTCCAACTGCTCCTTTTTGGTGATGTCCATGATCACCACCTCGGTGGGCTCACTCAGTTTTCGTATATCCCACCACATGACCTGACGGGAGAAGGGAGCGACTGTGAGACCCGAGGTCCTGCGACTCCCCTGGCTTTGGTGTCCCTCACCTCCTCCAGCTCCCTGGCGTCAGTCACTGTGGTCAAAGGGTGGCAGAGGCTGCCCGCAGCCCACGGGGACAGACATGCTTTGAGAATGACTGCTCTGCACTACAGTCCAGAGCCTGTCTGGTCACGCGTCAGGGGCAAGTGTCGTGAAGCCCAGATGGTGGGGCCTCACCCCAGACCTACTGAATCAAAATCTCCAGGTGTGGGTCCAGCATCTGTATTCTTGTTTTTTTAAATCCTCACCTGAGGACACTCCTGCACTTATCTTTGGATAGAGCGAGAGGGAGAGAGGGAGGCAGAGAGAGAGAGAACCATCGACGTGAGATAGACACATCGACTGGCTGCCACCCACACGACCCCAACCAGGGCCGGGGACAAATTGCAATCGAGGTACATGCCCTTAGCAGAAACCGAACCTGGGACTCTCTGGTCCACGGGCCGATGCTCTAACTGCTGAACCAAGCCGGCCAGGGCTGCATCTGTATTCTTAAAGGCTCCCCACAATATGGCAACACAGCGCAATGTTGTAAATGCACAGACACGCTGCACAGAAATCGCACTGCCAGGAACGTGTGCCGCTGATGTCCCTTCACAGGTGCACAAGAACATTTATGCCATTGTACTCCGCTACATTTTTTTGGTAACAACAAAATATTAGCCCTGGCCGGTTTGGCTCAGCGGTTGGAGCGTTGGCCTGCGGTCCAGGGAGACCTCGGTTGGGTTCCCACTGAGGGCGAGTGCCTTGGTTGCAGTTTGTCCCCGGCCCTGGTTGGTGGTGCGGGTGGCGGCCACTCGATGTGTCCCTTTCACGTTGATGTTTCTCTCTCTCTCTCTCTCTCTCTCTCTCTCTCTCTCTCTCTCTCTCTCTCCCTCCCACTCTATCTGAACAAAAAATGAAAAAAATGTCCTCGGGTGAGGATAACAAAAAAATTTTAAATCCTCTTAAATAAATTATGCCATGACCATTGCAGACCTTAACAGGCAGGGGGCAGTACTTTATGAAATATAAACTCATCTCCAAGATACGTTATATGAAAAACATCAAGTGCAGATCCACACATAAGGTGTGCAAAGAGGGCGAAGAAGACAGGTGCACTTGCTTCTGTACACAGAGACTGTCCCTGACAGACCACACTGGTGTGGGTGGGTGCTCCTGGGAGGGCGCCTGTCCTTCTGTGTCTGTTGCGTGTTGTTCCATATGCATGTATGACCTATTTTTCAATTTAAAAATAAGATGCAGTCCTGGCCGGTGTAGCTCAGAGGTTAGAGCGTCGGTCCGAAGACCATAAAGTCACAGGTTCGATTCCGGTCAAGGGCACGTACCTCAGTTGCAGTTCAGTCCCCAGCCCTGGTTGGGGTCATGTGGGGGACAACCAATTGATGTCTCTCTCTCACATCGATGTTTCTCTCTATCTATCTACCCCTCCCACTCTGTCTGAAAATAAATGGAAAAATATCCTCAGGTAAGGATTAACAAAATAAATAAAAGTAAGATGCAAAAGAAAATGTTCCCCGGGGATTTCAAGGGGGAACCAAGTGCCTGTTACTGCTCCCCACCCCTCACCCCTACAGCAGCTGGCTGTGGGTACCTGCCCGTCTGTCGATGCTGAGAAGCACTCCGTGCCCGTCTTCGACTGCAGCCAGATGGTGGCATACACGGGGTCTCGGTGGCTGAACTCAATGGTGGACAGCTCCGCCACCAGGCTGCCCTTCCGCGTGTCCCAGCAGGCTGGTGGGGAGGAATGAGGGGGAGGTGAGCGGGGCACAGGCTTCCTTTCCTGGTGCGGGGAGCCGGGCATCGAGGGGTGCTCTTCCCTTGGTTTGGCAGGTGCGTGTTTGTGCTGGAATCAGGTTCGGCGTGGGTGCCCTGCCGGCGCGGAAAGACCCCAGAGCGCATGCGCGCAGGCTGCATCCAGCCCGCGGACCCTGCGTGTGCTGAGCACCGCCCTGGAGAAGCCCCTGGAACAGGACAGGCACTGCCCCTGGGCTGCAAATACAGCCCAGGCTGTCATTTCTCTGGTGGGGGACACGGGGTGGTCAAGGAAAGCTTCCTGGAGGAGGTGAGAGGGAATGAGCCTGAGGATGAGCCTGGGACAGCGACAGGCTCCTGAAAGCAAGCACGCAGGTGACTCTCCTGCTGCGGGAACTCATCCCCTGTCCCCTGTCCTTGGCTGCCTCTGATGGGAACACAACTCCCCGGGGGCTTTACTCCTTCGTCCTTGACTCAGCCCCTTGGCGGGGCTTTGCCTCATCTGCTTCCCCAAGACCTGGCTCCTCTCCTCTGTGTCCTAATCCATTTGTTTCCATTTTCCCACGAGTGCACAGCGAGGACGCGCCCTGTCACTCCGAGCTGTTTCTAGGAAAGCTGACTTGGCAAAGCAAACAGCAAACGCACTGGATCTTTAAGTGCTGGTTTCTGGAGCCCACGGCTCCGCTCGGGCAAAGCGAAGCTCAAGGGAGGGTCCCCTCGCGCCCATCCTGGGCCGCCGAGCCCAGGGCCAGCCTGAGTGGGCATGAAGGCCACCAGAGGGTCATGAATAATGAGTGAGGCAGGGCTCCTGAATAAAACATGGCAGAGGGCCCTCAGAGCCCTGGCTCCCGGGCGGTGCGGCCGGGAGGGTATGGCAGGCCCTGTCTGGTCCCCAGCCTGGCAGCTTCCCCAGGAAGGAGGCCGCAGGTCTGAGAGGGGGCTCGGCGGTCTCAGAGCACCAGGAGGCGGCCTGGCCACAGCGTGTTTCCGAGGAGAATTTACCCAGCCATTCCGGCTCCTTCTCCTGGAGGAAGGGAGGAGGTTAAGAGCCTGTGAAGGTAGGAGGATGGGGGGCCTTTTCCACGCCCACGGAATCTGGCTTGGGGCGCAGACAGGACGGGGCGAGTGTCTGGCTGCCCCAGGGCCAGGGCCCGAGGTGGAGGGACTATCAGGCAGAGCCCATGTGGACAGATTCCTTCCAATCTCACTAGCAATAAAAAACTCAGTTTTCTGGGGGTACGATCAGCAAAAAGAGCAGACTGAGGACCTCTGAAAATCTCCTCCATAAAAGCAATGAGAACGCCTGTCCCGATAAGCTTTTTCAGGACTCTGGGAATCAGGCAAAGGCTGCCAGCGATCCAGAAAGTGTCGGTGCAAGAAAAGCAGCTCATTCTAGGAAGAACAGTGAGTTTTGGTGCATTTTAACTTGCCCTACTTAAGATCCTACACTCTCCACCCCACGGTAACCTTGCAAAATAGCATCCTGCCTCCCGGGCGGGACCCGCTAGCCTGGCAGCCACAGGAGGCAGCGGCGTGGGCTGGAGCTCCGTCAGGTCTCCTGTCCACAGGTCATGCTTTGACCGGTGGGGTGGCTCCCCGAAAGACCCCGCTTGCAAAGTTGCCTATATTCGACTTGGCTCAGCTCGCCCAGTGAGGGGGTCTTTTCTTTTCATGGAGACACCTGTCGGTTAAGAACGCGGGTCCCTCTTACCGATCTGCCCATTGTAGCAGCCTCCCAGGAGCACGTGGGAATCTTTGGGGTTGTACTCCAAGGTGACAAGAGCAGATGATGGCTTTAGGACAGTCTCAGGCCTGTTGGGGTTTTCTAAAAAGCAGGGGGATATATATATATATATATATATATATATATGAATGAATATTTATATGAATACACACACACACACACGCACGCAAACACACACACATGCGTTTTTATATATCCTCACCCGAAGATGCTTTTCCATTGATTTTTTAGATTTTTTTGATATTTAGAAGGGGTTGAACTGTTAGGCCCTGTTCTTTCCAAGCCTGATGGGATATATATATATATATCCCCTGGCCACCCAGCCTCTCTGATTCTCACCCAGGTCCCAGATGTACGATTCCTGGCTCATGTTCTCAGGTGCCCGTTGAAAATTCAAGCAAGAATATGCCACTGCCAACTTTCTGTTGCCATCGGGGTGCCAGGACAGGTGTGTGGCTGACCGCTTGATATCTTGGGGGTCCCTTTAGGGGGAGCAAAAGGCAGAGGCTGCAGTGCAAGGCTCCTCCGATTTCTTGTTTACTAAATGTTTTCTTTAAAATATTCAGACCTATTTAAGCATACACATTCACTCAGAGAAATTTATTTTAAAAGCAAAATTTATAGGACTCCCTTAATCGAAAAACCAATCCCACCAGCCATAAATACAAGCTAAGAATACAAATTAAGTCCTGGCCAGTTTGGCTCAGCGGTTGGAGCGTCAGCCTGCGGACCAGAGAGTCCCAAGTTTGGTTCCCGCTAGGGGCATGTACCAAAAAAACCCACAAAAAAACAAAGAATACAAATTAAAACAGTGGAAGCAAAATATTAAATTCCAGTCTACTGCTTTTACTTGCTGAATGTTTTGTGACTGAGGCTCAATTCCCATTGCTATTAAAATAAAAGGGAGCATGCAGAATTCAACAACCATGCTCTTTCGCATTTGCCCAAAGGAGTGGAAAACTTAGGTCCACACAAAACCTGCACACGGGTGTTTACAGCACCTTTGTTCTTTTCGTATTGCTGTTAATCCTCACCCAAGGATATTTTCCCATTGGTTTTTAGACAGAGTGGAAGGGGTGGAGGGGGAGAGAGAGAGAAACATCTATGTGAGAGAGACATAGAGACTGACTGCCTTCCGCATGACCCTGACCAGGGCCGGAGATCGAACCTAAAACCCAGGTACGTGCCCTTGACCAGGAATCAAACCCACAACCTTTCAGTCCACGGGCCAACACTCCAACCACTGAGCCAAACTGGCCAGGGTACGGCAGCTTTATTATTAATTCTCAAAACTTAGAACCAACCAAAAGGAATGAATTGTGATCCATTCATACACTGGAACAATGTTCGGCATTAAAGAGAAACGAACCATCAAGGTGGACACATAATGTACACTGCTAAGCAAAATGCCAATCTGATGAGGCTACGTACTACATGACTCCAACTGTGACATCCTGGGAAAGGCAAAACCATGGAGACAGTGAACAAATTAGTGGTTGACAAAGGTTTGGGGGGAGAACAGGATACATAGGTGAGACATAGGTGATTTTTAGGGCAGCGAAACTCTTCTGTATGATAATTTTGTCAAAACTCATGGAATGTACAACACAGCTGTAAACTATGGCCCTTCAGCTATGGGCTGAAAGTCTGTGCCCCCCCCCCCCATCCTGCCCCAAATTCATAAACTGAAACCTAATCTCCGATGTGATGGTATTAAGGCAGGGCCTTGGGGGGGTGGTTAGGTTGTGATGGGATTAGAGCCCCTGTAAATGAGGCTCCAGGGAGCACCCTCACCCCACAGCAAGAAGGTGGCTCTCTATGGGTTAGGAAGTGGGTCCTCCCCAGACCCAGAACTCAACCATGCTGGCCCCCTACTCCCAGAGCCCCCAGCCTCCAGGACTGTAGATTTCTGTAGATAGATTTCTGTTGTTTCTAAGCTATCTGGTCTATGGTCTTTTGTTACAGCAGCCGGGAACAGACTGAGACAGGGTGATCACGATGTGTCCCTATTGGCTCATCACTGTGACAAACGTACCAGTGGGGTGTGACAATGACAGTGGGGGAGGTGGTGTGGGTGGGGGTGAAGGGGGGACGTGGGAACTCTGTTCCTTCTGATCAGTTTTGCTCCGGACCTAAAAGTGTTCTGAAAAATAAACTGATTTGAGAGCAAGGGGGGAGGGAAAATGAGAAAACACACTAGACTCTGTGGCCCCAGGCGGAGACTTTCTCCTTGAAGAACACAGGAGAATGAAAGTGGAAACAAAATAACTCTCTGTGATTTACTCCCTTCCCTCCTCCCTGGGAGCAGCCTGCAGGAGAAAGCGCTCGGGCTGGGATCCAGGACACCCGAGTTCCAGCCTTGGGGTCACCCGCCCACTGTGCGCTCTGAGCACTCCCCCTGCCGGGGGTCAGTTTCGGCACCTGGGGGCAGGATGGCATGATTTGTAATGCATCATTCCACCAGGTCAGGCCTCAGCAGGTCTGGGGCAGCCAGGAGCACAGCACCCCTATGCCCCGCCCCTCTCCTGCACGCCCCTCTCCTGCACGCCCCTCTCCTGCACGCCCCTCTCCCGCACACCCCTCTCCCGCACACCCCACTCTTTCCTGCTCATGTTGGGACCAGGTTAAGCACTTCCCAGGATCCTCAGTGGGTCCTGGTAGCAAAACGAATCTCCCAGGGTTGTCCTTGGAGGCTGGACACAGGTACTCTCTGCACAGTCAAGCATACACACATACAGACGCGTACCTACACACGTACACATTCACCCATGCACGTAAGCACATACGCCTAGGTGTGTTTCTTTCTTTTTTTTTTTTTTTAATCCTCACCTGAGGACATTTTTTGTTCAGATAGAGCGGGAGGGAGAGAGAGAGAGAGAAACATCGACGTGAAGGGACACATCGAGTGGCCGCCACCCGCATGACCAACCAGGGCCGGGGACAAACTGCAACCGAGGCACGTGCCCTTAGCGGGAACCGAACCCGGGTCTCTCCGGACCGCAGGCCGACGCTCCAACCGCTGAGCCAAACCGGCCAGGGCGTCCTAGGTGTGTTTCAAACAGAGCAGTGCTCTCCACACGCAGTTCTGCACCTTGTTCTGGTTCACGTATTACCCCCGGCAACATGCCCTATAGCCACCAGGAGCTGCCTCCTGCACGCTGACAGCCGCAGGGTTTTCCCGAGTGTCCCCGAGGGCCAGGTCACGCCCTGCCGCAGTGACGATCCACACGCACAGTGATCTCACACGCGTGTACCGGTGCCATACAGGCCTGTTGTCGAACTGCTGTCCTTACAGGCGATTCCCGGGTGCACTCCTCCTGAGGGTGGGGGACGAGGTCCTTCTGCCCACAGTGCGGCCGGGTCACCGTGCTCTGCACTTTGCACGTCCTTCCTGCCGTGGATCGCCCCTCCCTGTGCACAGCTTTGCACACTCGCTCCATCTCTCCCCAGGCTCCGTCTCTCGCCATCTCCGTCCTCCCTTTCCACCCCCAGGCCTGCCCCAGGGTAGGGACCACTTGTCTGCTGGGTGATGTATTGCTCTGCCCTTTATCAAGCTCGGGGCACAGAGGGCGCGGCGAGGAGTCAGGTTAGGAAACACCCGCCTGCAGAGGCGACAGATGGGCCAGCACCCGCCCAGCTAGAGAAATACCTGAAAACATTGATGGTTTTAGCTGCCGGGGCCTCTTCCGTCACTTCCACCTCCTCCTCGTCATCAAAATACTCCTGGTAGATGTTGACGGCATTATTCTGCTTGATGCAGTGCTCCATGACCTGAGGGACACCCCGGGAGGTCTCAGCCGCCAGGGAGACTGTCCGTCTGACTGGGGCTGACAAGAGGTCTGGGAGGGCGAAGAAATAAGGGGCCCTTTCCCACCCTTCCAGCCCATGCACGCTCTACGGGGTGAGGACTGGTTCTTAGTGGTAAACAGTATTGCTGTTTATATACAAAGCACAGATGTGCACACAGTGCATAAACAGATATGCTGCATACCTATGACACTGTAGTTTCATGGGGGAGGCAAAGAGAAAAAGAATGTCTAAAATGGCTCCTTGGGATAAGGCAAAAAAGGGGAAGAAACACCGCTTCAGCCAGACAGAAGTCATCACTCCACATCTAGCACCCATCTCTGGCTCCCCTGCCCAGAAAGCCATCTCCATTATGCTAAACGTCCATCGTGAAAAGCCCAAGTGCCACCTCTTCCAGGAAGCCTTCCCTGATTTCTTTGGCAGGAAATGGCCTCTCTCTCCTTATGGGGCAAAATGGCCATCCCTTCTCTCACAGTGTGTCTTTCTACATCATATGGTGATATCTCTGGATTTGTCTTTGACCTCTGGTGGATTATAAACTCTTTGGAGTAGGATGTATGTGGATTTCATTTTTACAGTCTCTACTGTGCCTGGCAGAGACCAGAAGCTTGGTTCAAATGTGCTGAGGGGAAGAATGTTCCCTGCTGGTAGGAAGCTGGTGGGTGGGGTTCTTTGGGACTCCCTGCCCCAAAGGGCCACTTTTCAGCCTCCCCTTAAAGCCTACTCAGCACCTGCACCTCCCTGCCTTCCCCTCTGGCCTGCTTGCTCCCAGACAGAAGGCTCCTTGTGGCAGCTGGTGCCCCTCCCCTAAGGAGCCACAGGAGCTGAGCACAGGCTTGACACGCAGTTGGGGACCACGGTGATGGGTGCGGCTCTGGCCGCTGGCGCCGAAGGAAGCCTCACCAAGCCCAGCTGCATGATGGTGTTGATGTAGTTCTCATCTTTCTCCACCTTCTTCCGGAAGCGGATCGTCTGCTCCAGCTCCAGGGGGTTCACATCCTTGGGCCAGCCCCCCTCCACGTGGTTGACACCCCGGGTCTCCATCTCGAATCGCTCTGTGTTGGCCTGAACAGAGAGCCCCCGGTGAGAACACCTGCCCCAGGTGCGAGCATTCAGCCACTTCTGCAAACCAGCATCCGGAGCCCTGAGCGCTCAGGGCGGACCATGCGGTGTCTTTGGCCGAAGCCACAATACGTTCAGGTACCAGGAAGGTGGTCCCCGGTGCTCAGGACGTCACAGGCACCATGGAAGCGCCACTGTGTGGAGCTAGCAGCCTTGCAGCTGACGCCAGTGGACAGCCCACTGCCGACCGTGCCTGCAGCCCACCCCTCTGCTCGGTAAGATGCCGGGGGAGAAAGCAGTGATGAAGTCTTCTCCGCCCCCCTTTTCCAAGGTCTCAGGAACGGAAGCCTGGAAACAGTGAAGAGTTCGGATCTGCTCTGCCCAGTCTCTGTGGCAGGGAGGAGGGTACAGGTGCAGTTTTACCCTTTAAACTTACCAGCTTGCCACCTTTCCATTTTTTCCCATTTTGGAAACTGTGGTAAAATACACATAACAGGCCCTGGCCGGTTTGGCTCAGTGGTCAGAGCGCCGGCCCGCAGATCAAAGAGTCGCGGGTTTGGTTCCGGTCAAGGGCACGTACCTTGGTTGTGGTTCAGTCCCCAGCCCTGGCTGGGTCCTGAGGGAGGCGACCAGTCGATGTGTCTCTCTCACATCGATGTTTCTCTCTCTCCCTCCCCCCACTGTTTCTGAAAATAAATGGAAAAATATCCTCGGGTGAGGATTACAACATAAATAAGTAAATACAATAAAATACACATAACATAAATGTTACCACTTTAAATGTTTAACGGGCACAACTCAGTGGTGTTGAGGACATCGCCCGTGTTCGGCTGCTACCGCCACCACCAAGTTCCAGAACTGTCGCCAGCCTCATGGAGACCCTTTCTCATTGACGGCCGCTTCCCTTCCTGTGCATTTTCAAGCCAGCTCCCCACAAAGGGAGGAGTCTTCACCGGGCAGGGCTGCAGACAGAGACCCTAACTGGTGTGGCCTTCATGACGGCCGCCTCTACGACCTGGACCACACTGCCCTGGTCCGGCGACAGCAACGAGCCCCGGGAAACGAGGCTGTGCGTTATCAGAACCACTCGCCACGTGTTTTTGATGAAATCAAGTGTGATCTTCACTCAGTTGACTTGAGGCATGATAAATGGGTAATTTTCTTTGATCTGATTTTCTCTCAGCAGTTCCCAACATAATCGGGAGCTGACCACCTGGTCCAGACAGGCGGGGAACCCGCTGGGAGTCCGGACAGTGACATGACCCAGTTCTCTGACCCTGGAGGCCCCTCTGACCGGAACGTTCTATGGCAAAAGCCTGACTTCTCACAGCTGGGCGGTGCCTGTGGTTATAAAACTCTGCCTCCTCAGAATACCTCTTCCACCTGTATCCAATGCCCAAGACAATTCCAGAAAGAGTCTGAGAGCTGAGGCCAGAACCATGGGGAGAGAAGTCTTGACTGGCATTCACCTGGCCCCGGACCATCTGGTGCTGGGTCTTCTCCTGGCCCTGGGCACTGTGGTGGGTCTTGGTGCCATCCCGCCCTCGGGCTCCCAGCATCTACAATGGTCCACTCTAACTGGCTCAGGTGGGTGGAGTCACCAAGAGCCCCTCGCTGGCCGGGCCCCAGGGCGGGGACCCACCTCGTGCTCCGACATGCTGGTGGAGCACTGGATGCCCATGTCCACCGGGTTCCGCGCCACGAACTGCTCCGCCAGCTCGGGGTTAGGCGGGATGTCAATGTTCAGCTCCGCCTGGCGGTCCGAGAAGTTGCATTGCTTCCCGAACTCGCTTCGCTTTTTGACATACACGTACACGATCTCCATGGCACCGGCTGCTGCGGGGCAGAGGGAGGGTGTGCGGTGAGGGGTCCCGCCTGGATGCTTCTGGTCCCCAGGGGCCTCCCCGGATAGGATCCAGGTCCCCGATCTGGCCGAGGGGAGGGGTTCTAGGGGATTTGTCCAGAGGCTGAGTCGGCATTTTAAAAAGCATTTATTGCCCAGCCGGTGTGGCTCAGTGGACTGAGCGTCGTCCTATGGACTGAGAGGTTCTGGTTCGATTCCCGGTCAGGGCACAGGCCCAGGTTTCAGTCTCGATCCCCAGTAGGGGGCGTGCAGGAGGCAGCCAACCCATGTTTCTCTTTCATATGGATGTTTCTCTCTCTCTCCCTCCTGTCTCTCTAAAAAAATAAAGAAAACATGTTAAAAGAATCATTTATTGAGTAATGCCGACATGCTAAGCATTATCTTGTTCAGCCCTTGCATTGTCCTCTGAAGTGGACCACGACATCTCCATTGTACTCCGGAGGACTCGGGTACTCAGGGGCCCCGAGTGCTGGTAAGGTACCGCTGGTCTGCTGACCCCAGAGCGCTTGCTTGTGCAATGGCACTGTTTTCACTGATCTATATGATTATTTCGAGGCAGGAGGAAGTATTGATGGCAATTCTGGAGTGAAATTCCTTGCCAGGCACTGGACCTGATCATGCAGTGCACAGGTTTGAGAGCTGGAGGCTCTCTAGAAAGTCTCCCACTCAGCCACCCCATCGTCCAAAGACTCACCCATCTTAGAGCTCTATGGTACTGGCCTCCACCGTCCACCACTCTCTGGGGGCCCCACTGGAAGCTCCTCCCTCCACGTCACTCCACCTAGGACAGGCTGGGAGTCCACCTGAGGAGGAGAGAAGGTTGGACCTCAACAGGCAGAATAGTCAGGCCTTTCAGAAACCCTCTGATTTGTGCTATTGGTCACGAAAGGCCCAGTGGGGAACTGGAAAGCAGGCTGGGCTGGGTCCAGACGTCAAGTTCTGGCCTTGACCCTCCCCAGCTGCTTGACCTTGGCAGGACCACTCAGTCATTCTGACCTGACACCCTGGGGTGTGCGTGTGTGTGTGTATGAAATGCAAGCGCTCAAGCACAGAGCAGGGAGGTGTTTTCTTGCTGGCGCTACCTGGAAGGTTTAGAAAGGCAGTGAGTGGCCAGTTCCCACAAATGGCTCTTTACTCACCCAAAAGAGACCTCAACCCCTCTGACCCGTCACAGCAATAGACTCTGCGGGGTCTGAATGCTCCTCAGTGGCTTAAATGGCTGGCCGTCTGATGGGGTCTGTCAACTATGGAGCTGAGTCGAGTCCCCCAGGTGCTGACCGCTCCTAACTCCCGCTCCTGACTGTGGTGGCCAAGGGCTCCGGGTGGGGTCTGCCAAGCCGATGGCCCTGCAGGGAGGCCTGGGAAGAAAGCTGTTGGCTGGGTGGCTGGGTGGTGTGGGAAGGTTAACCTGACAAGAGCCATGGTAGGATTCATATCCGAAAGCCTTCCAGCAGCCAAGAGTTTAGGCTCTTACCCATGAGCGGGCATTGCTATCTTTGAATGATAAGGGCACTGGTAGAAAAATGCTTGGAGGACATGCCCTGCTTTAAGTAAAACCCATAGACAAATATCTAAACTTGGGAAGCAGATGAGAAAATGTAACACAAATGCTACAGTAGAAATTCACTTTACTGAGCAACTTTGTACTGTGATTTGTGCCTACGACTGCCTTCTGGGGCACCCAACATGAGTCTAAAAAAATGTGAATTACATAGACTTTGCCAGGAATCCACAGGTTTTATGAGTGCTCATGGCTTTGTATTTGCTATTTTACTTATTCAGTACACATTATTAAAACAACGAATAATCACATCAGTGTTGTACTAGCATAAAGATAGACATATATATTAAGGGAACAGAATAGAGAGTTCAGAAATAAACCTTTATATTTATGGTCAACTGATTTTCGATAAAAGTGCTAAGGTAAATCACAAGCTAGCAGAGTACAAAAGTGGAGCTTGGATAACTGGACAGTCACATGCAGAAGAATGACCCCTACCTCACACCACACAAAAAAATGAACTGAAAATGGATCCCAGGCAAAAATGTAAGAGCAAAAACTACAACACTTTGGTGGAAGAACCTAGAGGAAATTCTTTGTGACCCTGATTTCTTTCTTTGTTATAAGATTTCTTAAAATATGGCATCAAAAACTCGGTTCATAAAAACAACAACAACAACAACAAAAACCCGCAATAACTTGGATTTCATTCGAATTTAAAACCTTTGCACTTCAAAAGACAACGTTAAGAAATGAAAAGACAAGACACAGACTTGGAGAAAGTATTTGCAAATCACATACCTGAGAAGACTTGACCCAGAATCTATAAAGACTACTGGGTCCCAGGCGCTGTGAACGCAGTTTATAGGCGCTCAGTGTGCCCACCACAGCCCCCAAAACAGTGATCACAATTCTCATTCTACAGATGAAGAAACTGATGCCCAGAGAGTTTAAGTGCCTTGCCAAAGGTCACAGAACTTAAGTCCAGACAGACTGAGCCAGGACCTGGACAGGTCTGGCTGTAAAGCCCTGATAACCTTGAGGAGCAGACGAAACCATGCATTTGCAGGACGTGCCACCCAGCAGGTGCCCAGTAGCTCTGAGTTCCCTTCCTTCCGTTGTCACCAGCAAGCTCTCCTCTTCACCTGTCAACGCCCTGCCAGCCCAGCCCAGGCTGTATTTCCCAACCCTTCAGCTGTAACTTTAGAAGTTTCCCAGCCTCCAGGAGACAGATCTACCAGGACTGCCTGACTGCAGGAGCCTAGGGCTTTAGAACTTGCAGGGTCCTGTCACTCGGGGGCATCGAGGGCAGCGAGGACCAACGGGACGGGCACCCTCAGGGCATCCACCACCGGGCAGAGCTATCCCCGAAGGATGCCGCCCTTAGGAATCCTTGCACAGTCGGTGCTGATTACCCTCGGGGGCTCCCGCCCGCACTCCCCACTCCCCTCCGGCCGCAGACGTCCTCCCGCGCCCGCCCTTACCCCGTGTCCGCTCCTCCTGCCGCTGGGACGCCGGGGCGCCCGCTCCAGCACCCCCCAAACGGCTCCCTGCCGCGGAGTTTACCCGTTGCCTAGCAACCCTGGCGGGGCCCGGGACGCGGGGCTGCGCGGAGGCGAACGGAGCACGTGACTTCCCGTCGGGACTCAGGAAGCGCAGCGATTCCCTCCTGCCTCTTCTGGGGGGCTCGGGGGTTAGGAACAGAATTAACCAACTAGTTAGCCGACCCGGTAACGAGGAGCGTGCGTAGGGCCTTGCAGATAAGCTCGGGCAAGATCCCAGGTGTGGGCAGGGCCTCCGGAGCCCTGAGCCCTGGTTGGTGGGGCTCTGGCAGGTCGTTTGGCCACCCCATCTTTCCGTGTCCCCATCCACCGAGTGGGACTTGTAACCCCAGCCTCCCCCGTGTCCCCCGCAAGTCCAAACGCCCACCGTGGAAGAAGGCGCCAGAGAGCAGGGCCTGAGTGCTCACGAAATGAATGAATCGATACAGGAGTGAATGAATCGATACAGGAATGAATGAATCGATACAAGAGTGAATGAATCGATACAGGAATGAATGAATCGATACAGGAATGAATGAATCGATACAAGAGTGAATGAATCGATACAGGAGTGAATGAATCGATACAGGAGTGAATGAATCGATACTGGAGTGAATGAATCGATACAGGAATGAATGAATCGATACTGGAGTGAAGGAATCGGTACCATGACGCTTCTCTTGGAGCTAAGGCAATGAGGTGAGATCATATAAATGTGGGGCTAGAAGACGTGGGTGTGCATCCCAGCTTGGCCGTTTAGTAATCGCATGACCTCGGACGAGTTACATTCCTCTTCTGCAAAGTGGAGGTACAGTAGTTACTGAAGATAATTGTGAGGATCAACTGGGATGATGCTGCCGTGTGCCCAGCCCCATGCTGATGGCAGAGTCGTGCCCGACCAGTGCCAGCTCTGCACTTCCCACCGCAGGGCGTCGGACTAACCTGGACTCAGGGTGGGCACTAGAGATGTGGGGGCGGGGTGCAGACAAGGGATGTGTCATCCAAGAAGTGGGAGTTGGGGCTGGAACTGGGCCATGAAAAGGGGTTGTGAGTTGTGGGGAGGGGGGGGCAGCATTCCAGATTGGGGAGGGGAGCATGGTGTGAGCCAGGGAGGGGTGGTGGTCATGGAAGAAAGGCATTTTGGGAGGCTGGAGGGTGAGTCAGTCTGCCTGGAGGGGGAAAGGAGAGAGGAATTTGCAGAGGTCAGCTGGGGCCAGTTTGTGGGGGGTCCCCAGAGGGAGGCTCTGACAGCTTCCCAGGGTTTTTTGGAGCTGTTAAAGTACAGGAAGAAGGCAACTGTTCCCCCACCCCCACCCCGGCTCCCCAGCTTCTCCAGGTGTGTCTTCACCGCCACCCACCTGCCTTGAACTGGGCCAGTCAACAAAATTCCCAATGAACCACACTAATCAAAGACAAGCACCTAAGTGCCTGCTGCCACCACCACCCTCTGACTCCAGCTTCCACCAGCTTTTCTGAGCCCCTTGGGGTAGGCCCTGAAGGGGTGCTGGGGGCTGGGTGGAGGAGCTTCTGAAAGCCCCACCGAACCCGCTTTGTGTGGTCAGAGGTGGATCCGGAAGTAACAGCAGATCAGCTCCCCGGTGGAGCGTGGGGGCTGCAGACCTCACGTGGGCTCTGGAAGCTGAGACCTCTGCGCCCACATTATTCCCCGAGGTGGGGTTTGGGAGGGTAGAAAGGCGAAAGGCAAGCTGTAGCCACCTTCCTCCTACCATTGCAATGCTGTGTTACAGGCTCCCCGCCCCCACCCTCAGAAGGCCTGCGTGCTGTTCACTGGCCCCGGGAAGCCAGCCTGAGGTCATGTAATCAGGAGTATGCACAGGGATCAAGTTCAGAAAAGTTGCCATGTCTCTCAGATCTCCCCTCAATCACAGCAGAGCTGGCAACTGAAATTCTTTGGTGGGAGCAGCCTCTGACCTGTAGCCACCAGGCCAGTCCACAAGTCATTGCACTGCTATCCAGCCCCTTCACTTCTCTCTTTTAAGACATGTTTTATTTGCCCTGGCCGGTTTGGCTCAGTGGTTAGAGTGTGGGCCTGCGGACCAACGAGTCTCGGGTTGGATTCTGGTCAAGGGCATGTACCTCGGTTGCAGCTTGTCCCTGGCCCTGGTCGGGTCGTGCGGGAGGCAGCCACTCGATGTGTCCCTCTCATGTTGATGTTTCTCTCTCTCCCCCTCCCACTCTACCCGAAGATAAATGAAAACATATCCTTGGGAGAGGATTAAAAAAAAAAGAAAGGGCCAGAGCCGGGCTGGTGTGGTTGAGCGTCGACCCATGCACCCCATGCACCAAGAAGTCACTGGTTCGATTCCCGATCAGGGCACATGCCCAGGTTGTGGGCCAAATGGAGGTGGCCAGTCAATGTTCTCTTTCATCACATCAATGTTTCCATCTCTCTCTAAAATCAATAAAGGAAAAAAAGGGGGCTAATCAGGGCAGAGAGGACCAGCGCATGGCAGGATATTGCAGACTTGCTGGTCGTGGCACAGCCTTGTGACCTTGAAGGCCTGATTATATGTATATTAAAATAAAATTAAAAAATATATATATTTTCCATCACCATGTATCTATGCCCTCTCCCACCTCCACGCACCCCCTCCACCTGTGCGATCACCACACTGCCAAACGCTTCTCTTCTTCCAACTCTTTGCGGGGTACACACATATAACACAGATTTACCTGAACCCCATTCCAAGTGTGCTGCTCCGTGGTATGAGCACATTCACGCTGTACCACCAGGGCCAGCATCCACCTCCAGAAGCCTTTTCATCCTGCAAACTGAAACTCTGTATCCATCGAACACTAACCCCTCCCCCCACCCCTCCCCTCAGCTCCTGACAACCACAATCTTACTTTCTGTCTCAGATTTTGACTACTCTGTGTACCTTGTAGAGGTGGAATCATGCTGTATGTGTCTTTTTGTGATCGGCTTATGTCATTTAGCATAATGTCTTTAAAGTTTGCCCAAGCTGCAGCCTGTGTCAGGATTTCCTTCCTTTAAAAAAAAATTTTTTTTTCTTTATTGATTTTTAGAGAGAGAGGAAGGGAGAGAGAGATAGAAACATTGAGAGAGATCATTGACTGGTCCGACTGGCCGCCTCTTGCGGCCCACAACCTGGGCATGTGCCCTGACTGGGAATTGAACCAGCAACCTCTTAATGCATGGGTCAACACTCAACCACTGAGCCATACCAACCAGACAGGATTTCCTTCCTTTTTAAGACTGAATAAGACTGGCAGGTTTGGCTCAGCCGTTAGAGCTTTAGCCCAAGGACCGAAGCGTCTCAGGTTCAACTCCTGGTCAAGGACACGTACCTGGGTTGCAGGTTGGATCCCCGTTGGAGTCATGTGGGAGGCAACCAATTATTGTGTCTTTCTCTCACATGGGTGTTTCTCTCTCTCTCTCCTCCTCCCTCCTCCTTTCCACTCTATCTAAAAATCAATGGAAAAATACCCATGGGTGAGGATTAACCAACAATTAAAAAAAAAAAAAAAAGAGGGAGACCGAATAATAGTCCATTGTATAGACAGACCACGTGTTGTTTATCCAGCTATTGACAGACACTCCGGCTTCTGCCTGTCCCTCCTGTGAATAACGCTGCTGTGTATAGACATCCCTTCAAGACTTTGCTTTCAGTTCTTTGGGGAAGTGGAATTACTGGCTCATATGGTGATTCTTTTTTACTTAATAGACTTACTGTTTTGTAAATTTTTGAAGAACCACCATACTGTTTCCCACAGTGGCTGTACCATTTTACATTCCCACCAGTGGTGCACAAGGGTCCAATTTTTCCATGTCCTCCCCAACACTTGTTTTCTTTTCTTTCTTTCTTTTTTTTTTTTACAGTACCCCCCTAATGGATGTGAGATGGCATCTCATTATAATTTTTTGTTTGTTTCGTCCTCACCCAAGGACATCTTTGCATTATCTTCAGACAGAGCAGGAGGGAGAGAGGGAGGAAGAGAGAGAGAGAAACATCGATGTGAGAGAGACACATCTAGTGGCTGCCACTCGCATGACCCCAACCGGGGCTGGGGACAAACTGCAACCAAGTACGTGCCCTTAGCTGGAATCGAACCTGGGATTCTCTGGTCCGCAGGCCGACACTCTATCCGCTGAGCCAAACCGGCCAGGGCTCATTATAATTTTGATTTGCAGTTCCCCCGTGATTAGTAATACTGAGCACATTTCCATATGCTTGTCGGCCATTTGTATAGCTTCTTTGGAGAAATATCTATTCAAATCGGTTGCGCATTTTTGAATGGTTTTTTTTTTTTTTTTTTTTTTTTAGTTTTCTATATATTTGGAATATTATTAATCCTTTACCAGACATATGATTTGTAGATATTTCCCCCCATCAGTGGGTTGCTTTTTCCTCTGTTGACAGTGTCTTTTGGTGCACAAATATTTTAAAGTTTCAGTTGTTCGGGGTCTCTGAGATTTTATATACATTTTAGAATAGGTTTTTCTATTTCTGCAAAAAAATGTCATTGGAATTTTGATAGAGATTGCATTGAATTTGTGGCTCTTTTTTTATTTTTATTTTTATAATCCTCACCTGAGGATATTTTCCCATTGATTTTTAGATACACTGGGAGGGTGGAGAGAGAGAGGCATCAATGTGAGACACATTGATTGGTTACCTCCCACCAGATCTCCAACCAGGGCTAGGGACTGACCTGCAACCAAGGTACATGCCCTTGACCGGAAATCGAACCCACAACTCTTCCATCCGTAGGCTGATGCTCTAACCACTGAACCAAGCTGGTCAGGGTGAATTTGTAGCTCTTAATCATCTACAAATTGGGTAGTATATTCATTTAATGATATTAAGTCTTCCAGTCCATGAACATGGGATGTCTTTCCACTCCAGGGGTACCCTAGTTCTGATCTTGGCTCCGAGGGACGTGCAGTTGAGCCTGGCATGTTCTGTTGCACAGAGCCCTCTGCACTCACCTCGAATGCACCCGAAGGAAGCAGAAGCAGCCCTGGCCGGTTTGGCTCAGTTGTTAGAACATCGGCCTGCGGTCCGCAGGAGGCAGAAGCTGCTCTCTTCAGGAAGCTCTTCCCGGAGCTTAGGGCCATGGGTGGAGAGTCCTGCTGAGCCAGTCCAGGCTGGCTGGGTTGCCCATCAGATAAAGGGTAGTCTGCAAAGCATGGAGAGTGCAGTGCCTCTCAGGTGCCCCTACTGGAGAGGCACCCCATGGAGGTGCAGAGTTGAGGAAGAGGGTGCAGCAAGGACCCACAGCAAAGTTGGGGGAGGCAGCCCGCTGTGTGACCACCGCCCCAACCCCATAGCGTTGCACAGAGGCGGCAGCTTGGGCTCTGGGTGGACATCTGGGCTCTGGCACTCACTCCAAGTTACCCTAAATTACCCTCTCTGTGCCTGTTGGCCTATTTGTAAAATGAGTGACCCCATAGGGTTACTATGGTTTGAGTAACAATGAACAGAAATACTCAGGACAGTCCCTGGTACATTGCAGGTGTCCAATACGTGTTATTTATCATTAGCAACATTAAGAACAATGACCTTTATGGGAACTTCGGAGAAAGACTAGAGCAGAAACAAGGTCTGAGTATGAGAGTAGCTGGGGGCCACACGAGAGGCCCCGTGACATGCATTCAGTGGCCCCGTCTTCCAACTCTCCCACTGAAATCGCTACTGAAATCCGCTTTGAAGCCCTCGGACCACAGAACCCAGCTGAAGGGACCCTTCAGTCCTTCCTTACTCCCGCAGCCAAGAAAGTTAGACACTGAGCGTGCATTTTAGTACGAGTGGTTTATTTGTCCCCCAGATGAGGGCGCACATGTACCAGGCAAGGCGTGCCACCTAGCTCCTGCAGGAATCACCCAAGGGTTCTAGTTTAGTCTACATGCATTAAGAACAGCCCTCTAGTCGCCAACAATGAGACATTAAGAAGCAAGAGCTTGACGTCACAGTTTGTATCTGCACATGACGTGGCCGCCCACAGGTGTCCTTATGGTACAGGTTCACACGGGTTAATAGTGCAGGCGAGTCCCGGCTGCCCTGTGGCCCCATTCCATCACAGGGTTGGCTGGGGGCCGAGAGCCACTCCGCTGTCAGTGTTTGGATGAAAAGGTGGCTATTCCCAAGTGGAAAGAGAGCCCTTGTCCCAAGCCGTGCCACCCCATGTCCCTGCTTTGGCAGTTGAAACCGTGGGGGCTTCAATGCTGGGCACTCCGAGTTGGCAGGATGTTGGCAGCACCAGAGACCCTAACCCTGGCTCCTCAGTGGGCAGAAAGATGGGTCATTATTTTCCTCCTGGTTAACAAGCTCCTCCCCTAGCAGGCAGTGCAGGGGCCTGGGACAACGGGGTGGTGGGCAAGACGCTTATCTTTGTATCAAGACACAGTTGTCTTTGCTAAAATCTTTACTGAGAAACTTGCTTGAAGACAGGGGAGGGGACCGCTGGCCTGGGCCCCCGGCATTCCCCTGGATGGGGCTGTCCATGCTGTTTGCCCTTCCTTCTCCCTTAGTGCCCCCCAAGTGGGATGAACCCACCTTCCCACCAAACAGCAGCTTAGGACACGATGTCTCGCTGATCTTTATTTTGTTTTAAAAAAAAAGAACCCCCCTGCACCCCCAGATCCTTAAAGACCTGACCGGGTCAGAAGATGTGAAAAGGAACGGAATACAAACCAGGGGTAAGGAGCCCCAAATCTATTGTAAAAGCTGGCTGTGTTATGAGGCTCCATTCTTTGGATAATCAAAATATCTAAAATACTGGGGGGAAAAAGAGTTAAAGTCGCTCTGTTGATACCTGAGACCGTCCCTATGGGCAGGGAAGAAGCTCACAGCATTGAGTTTGGGGTGGAGGAGGGGCGACGTTGGGTAAAGGCAGGGACGAGCGGGCTCCCACCCACATTCCCGCGGGGTGTCTGCAGAGGCTCCAGGCTGTGGTCCCAGGCCCTGCAGCCACCAGCACCGTCCCTCTGTGGCCCAGGAAGAGGCCCTCAGGCCTGGGAGACTGATTCGGACAGTCCCTGGTCTCACTGGGGACATCACCTTCCTTATGAGCATCCCCGGATCAGCTCCTCCACCTTTACCTGCAGGAAAATGCTACCATTCTGTGCAGCCAGGAGGAGACTGGCCACTCGGAGTGTCACCTGGACTTCTGGCTGTGCTTGCAGGAGGCACAGTCCTGGCAACGGACCCTGGGGCCTGGTTCGGCCCCTCCTCACTGCCATTGCCCCCTGTAGACGGTGGGGTGCAGGAGTGAGCTGACCCGGGCTCCCAGCTAAGGGACAGCCGGGCAGCTGGGGGCCATTTCCGGTGTGGAGATGAGGCCAGAGCGGGAGAGACTGGTCCAGGTCGTGGGTCCTCCGTCTGCCTTGGGCTTTGGTCAGGATCTCAGCCGAGCCCCGGCGGATGCTGCCTGCCCCTCAGCGGGTCCTCCGCGGGGACAGGAGCCTCCTGGTCCTGCCGTCGGGCAAACGGCTTCCAGAGGCCTTTGGTTTCTACTGAAGAAACGCCGCTTTCACGTGAATTAATGCCAAACCAACGTGGACCGAGGGAGCAGGAACCGCTGGGGGCGCTAGGCTGGAAGGTCATTGCCGTAGTACCGCAGGTGCTCATCCGCCACGGACAGGTAGGTGGCCCTCATGCTGGGCGAGTACTGCGGGGGAGAGGGGACAGCCGGGACGGGGTCATACATGTTACCAGTTACACGGGACCCTGCTAGCGAAGGTGCTGGGGCTTTCTGAGGGATACCGGGCCGGACACAGCAGCCACGCACCAGGTTGTGATGCCGGGGAGTCACGGGGATTGGGGGTACTAGAGCGGCCTGGGCAGGCTTCCTGTCTGGTGATGCTTCCCCATGCTGTTGGCTCTTGGGTCTCCGCGAGCCACTTGCAGTGGTGGGCAGGGGACCGGTGGGGTGGTCTCCCCAGGGCAGGGCGGTCAACACTGCCGGAGCAATCAGGGTTTCTGGGCAGGTCTTAACTCTAGGGAGGAAGGTTGGTTCTGACCTTGAGCCTTGCAAATAAGGTCAGTTCTTGATTGTCTCTGCTAATGGCAGGGAGAGTGGTCTGGATCTTTCTAAACAGAAGGTAATCCAGCCCGGGCCGGTTTGGCTCAGGGGTTAGAGCATCGCCCGTGGACCAGAGAGTCCCGGGTTCGATTCCAGCCAAGGGCACGTACCTCGGTTGCAGTTCGTCCCCGCCCCAGTTGGGGTCGTGCGGGTGGCAACCAGTCGATGTGTCTCGCTCACATCATTGTTTCTCTCTCTCCCTCCCGCCCTCCCACTCTGTCTGATAGTAAAAATGTAAATAAATAAATAAATAAAGCTGCTAAAAAAAAAAGGTAATCCGAAAATCACTTTTATCTGGTATCACGGTGCCTTGAGCGATTCATTGTCACAGCAGCAGACTTCCCCTAATTATCTGTGCTCAGATTAACGGTAAAGTCAGCCTGTGTTCCTGGGCCCACGACAGCTGGTGCCAAGGACAAGGAGCCCCGGAGGCTCCCGGTGAGAAGCCTGGCAGGGGTTGAACAGGCTTCCCCCCGCCTGGTCTGGGGGCCGCAGGACCCTGGACGTGACAGCTGACTGTGTGCCCAGTGCTCTTATCAGAGGGCGGGGGAGGGGCTCTGGGCTAACACCAGCAGGGTGGCTCACAGCAGGGAAGGACAGGCGGTGGGCGGGGGCAGCTTCTCGACCACAGTACCCGGGACACTTGGGGCCCGCATTCTTTGTGGTGGAGGTCGTAGGTGTGCCGTAGGGGGCTTAGCAGCACCCCTGGCCCCGCCCACTAGATGCCAGCAGCGACTACACCCAGATGTGACAACCAAGAATCCCAACACCTTCCTGTGAGCATCCCAATGAGGCCAAACGTCCCCGGGGCACCATTGCCCAGAGCAAGACCCACCGCTCTAAGGTACGGCTCAATGCCATCTGCGCAGGCTCAATGCCATCTGCGCAGGGGAACTTCTCCCTCCCACGGAGCAGCAGGGACAGGTCCTCCCTCCTGGTCCCCAAGTACTGCGGGGCGCTCACTACAAACAGCTTCCCTGATGCCCTCCTGCAGATGACACCCCTCCGACCGGGCTGGGCCCCGCCTCTCCTCCCCCAGGCCCAGCACTCGCTGGACACCTGAGAGCATCCCGGTCCCCGGATCCAGGCCTGTCCTTGAGTCCACGTCCTTGTGTCTCCAGTGCTTCTAGTTTACCAACTGGATGGTCCCTTCCCAGCTACCTGGATGGTCAGGGAAGCACCGTGTCCAGCCGAGTAAAGGCAGAGGCTCCTTCCCCGACAGACCTGGCTCAAGACTCTGCTGCCCACCCGCTGCGGGAGGAGCCCCGGTTACCGTGGGCGGAGGGGAGCCTCTCCCGATGAGCGGCGTGTTCTCGTAGCGCGGGTTCCCACCGAAGAGCACAGCCTGGTTCCTGGGGACCGAGAGGAGAGCTCAGGAGGGGACGGCGTGGGGAAGGGGCTCTGATTTCTAAGGAGGGTCCCGTGGGCGTGCGTATGGGAGTGAGGATGGACAGAACAGAGGGAGTGTGGGCAGGAAGACAAGAGCACTCTGGGTGGCCCAGGAAAGAAGCAGCAGACGGCTGACAGGGCCCGGGAGCGGCGTGGCCTGGAGAAATGCAGATTCTTGGCCCGAGACCCCCCCTGCAGGCTCGTGGAGAGGCCTGGCATCTACAGTGGGTTCTTCCCTCCGCACACGTGGGTACGCAGGAGTCATGTGACTAAATGCTCCCTGGGGTCTTCCTGCCAGATCCCATGGCTGCAGAGGGGACCACTGCTGACCTCTGACCCCTCCTCCCCACTTGGCTCTCTAGACCCACAGACCTATCTCCCCTCGGGATTGGAGGTACAGGGGAGCCCCCAGGAGACCATGCCGTACATGTACTCGGAGACGGGGGCATTGGAGATGGTCTGGGCCGGGGGCTGCAGGCTGGTCTGGCTGCCCAGGCCGCTGCTGTAGCTGCAGTAACTGTGCAGCTGTCCCCGAGAGGGGAAGTGGGCGGCGATGCGCCGGGCCTGGGGGTTGAAGGGGTCGTCGTCATCGATGTCGTCGTAGTCTCTGTCCCTGGAATGACATGAAGGATACGGCCCACCGTGAGGGAAGGAGGCTCCCAGGAGTGGGATCCTGGCCTGCTTCCCAGGCTTCCTCCCAGGACTCCCCCTCTGGCCACAGGTGTGTCCTTGGGTTTCCTGCAAAACATGGTCCTCTGCCCTGGCTCCCAGAGATCACTCAGCCCCTTCCCAACTCCACATCACCTCCTCCAGGCAGCCCACCATGCTGACCACGTGCACACGGAACCTCCCTAACCTGCTTCCTCTCGTCTGATCTACCATCGCATTTGTCTGTCCCCTCAATGAGGCGGCAGGTGCCCTGATAACAGTGCCACAGTCTGTGCTTCCTGGTATTCCGGGGGCACCCCTCCCAGCAGTGGAAGCTCCCCTCATTTATGTCACACCACAAAGCTCTGCGGAAGAACAAGGATGCCAGGTTGTGGTGTGACCCTGTCACCATCCTCGGACCCGGGAAGCTCTGCAGAAACCCAGGAAGCCTGTCGGGGCTGAACGCCTGGGCCCTGGGCTGCTCTCGCCTGGCAGGGTATCAGCTCCACCAGCCTCCCACCTGCTGCCCCAGGGGGCGCCCCCGGCGGTGACGTGCTCCCAGGCCAGCGGGCCTGCGCGGATCATGCAGGAGAAGGCCAGCACCACGAGCAGGGAGAAGAGGCCCAGGTAGAGCAAGCCCTCGATGCCATCGTAGCAGACGCCAGCGAGGGCGTCCAGGTAGTCCTGGAGGAGGAGAGGGACAGTCAGGGAGGAGCGGGGCGCAGCCGGGGTGCGGAGCTCCCAGAGCGGTGGGGCTTCGTGGGTCCACGCTGCTAGGCACAGGGGTCGGCTCTGCACCAGACAGGCCAGGCTGTGGGGACTTGGGGGGGTGCAGAAGACGGGGCATTTACTGGACCAGGATGGCAGGAAGGGGCGGCTGCGCCTTGGGCAGTGAGGCAGAGGTAAGCCTGGCATGTCCCCCAGGGAACGGCCAGGGGGTGAGGTGGCGCCGGGCCTCGCAGGGCAGGTGAGGAGCCTGCAGCTTATCATGTGACGGGACGACACCAGGGGGGTTGGGATAAAGGGGTGTGATCCGATTTGTTTTTAATTTAAACCACTCTGGCTGCTGGATATGAAAGGACCTGGGTGGGGAGTGGGTGGGAGAAAGCGGAGACCAGTTAGGAGGCCGGGGCTGGAGGGAGAGAGGAGCGGACAGACTCAGGACATACTCGAGAGTCTGGCTGCGGTACTGGCTGTGGGACTGGACGTGGAGGGGGGGGGAGAGAGCGTACAGGGGTGACGCCCATGCTCTCAACTCTGAAGTCAGACTGCCAGGGCTCAACACCCAGGCCTTGGCTTGCCAATTCTGGACTCTCCAGTAAATCTCTCTCTCTCTCTCTCTCTCTCTCACACACACACACACTTTCCTTATCTGTAAAATTTCCCATGAAATGCTATGCATTCCACAGTATAACTGTGAGGACTAAGTGACCTATTAATATCAAGCACACAGAACCAAGGACTCAATAAATGGCAGCCATGGCCCTAAGCATGACTATTTGCACCACATCCCCATGGGATGGGAAAGCTGTTGGCATATGTTGGCTTATTGCTTTAGTGTGTGTGTGGGGGGGTGTCACCTGCAGTCAGTGGGTCCCTGCATTGTTGTCTGGTAGTTCAGATTCCTGGAGCAGACCCGGGCAATGAGTCTGGGATGTCCACTTGCAACCCAGGGAGATGGATGGGTTGACCAGAAGGCCGGGAGTCTGGCCAATGGGGAGCAGCCTCCCTCATCTAGGCCCGGGTCCCCAGTGCTCTAGAGGTGACCCGACCTAGACCTGCCACCTTGCCCCCTGGAACTTCCACTGACTCTCCTCGTCTCAGCCCCTGGAGAGAACCAAGGAGCAGGCACTTCTTCCAGCTGCCCGTGCCCAGGCCCGCAGGCCCCCAGGCAAGCTCTCGTCCGGCCTCTCCTGGCTTCTCTGGGAAAACGTGGCCAGCTGGGGTGTCCCCCCCCCCCGCCCTCAGGGCCAGCCCAGCACCTTGTGCAGCCCTCGGCAATCCAACAGGGCTGTCAGCTGGTGGAGGCTGGACTCCGAGGAGTTTAACAGGAGCTGGATGCTGAGCAGGTCGTTCTGAAGCAGAAGGAAAGAGGAAACATGTGGACAGACAGGCAGCGGACACTGCCGGAGGGGGCGGGGCTTGTGGATAAAACCACGAACAGCAGCAGGTGCACTCAGGCCTTTACAGCCAAAGGAAGGAGCCAGACTACCGGGAGGGAACCCTCTCCACAGCCTGGCTCTCCGAAGCCCGGGGCTGCCCCGCTTCTGGCGTGGATGCTGGGGAGACGGTCTTACCTCTGCCATGGGGAAGACGGGCACAGCAAACTGCAGCAGGTCCCCCACCTGGGTCTGCATGGCGGTCAGCGAGCGCTGGAAGACGGTCAGCGCCTGGGCGAGGAGAGACCGCAGCCCACCGTGAGGTCTGTTTCCCAGGGCCTCCCAGCTTTGGACGGCCGGTTCCCCCTGCGGTCCCTCCCTCCGGCTGCATCTGCACCCCCTGACTGTGGTCCTTCCTGCCTGCAGGAAACCTTCCCCTCATCCCTCAGGCTCCTTGAGAGCGGCAGGTCCTCTTGCTTCCGGCTACTCCACGTGTGGTCCTCGGACCAGCAGCACAGGCCCTGCCTGGGAGCTCGTGAGACACGCAGACTCGGGCCCCAGCCCAGACCCTCTCACAGCATTTGCATGACAACCACACCCCTTGGTGATGGGCATCGTCCATGCTGACGTGTGAGACATGCCGATCGAGAAGCTGCTGACCAAGAGCACTGACCCTTCAGAGGACCACAGTGAAGCAAAGGACACCCGGCCACCTCCACCTGCCCGGTCAGTGCTGGGGCTGGGGTCTAGAGGGAGCATGTGACGCAGGGCACTGCGGGCAGGGTGAGGGCCGGGCTGATGGCTGTACCTGCTGGAACGGGCTGCTTACGCTCTGACTGCAGTGCAGGTAGTAACGGGTCACCTCTGCAAGGCAAGGACGACGTCAGGCAGGAGCTCACAGGGGACCGGGCCACTCCCGAGCTCCCAGAGGCAGGTTCTAAGAAACAGCCCAGGGGTCCAGCTGGTCCTGAAGTGTGGGCTTTGGGAGGGACTGGGTGACTACAGGGCTGACAGGGGTAAGCAGAGGCACAGTCTGGCTGGCCCACAAGCTCGGTACCTGTGCTGAGCTGACCCTCCGTGATGTTCAGGATGAAGCTGTCAGGAGCCGCACAGAAGTCACTGGTGCCCTAAGCCAGGGAGAGACGGGAGGGGTGGGGGAAGGTCACGACACCAGGGCCCCGGGAGAAGCCCTGTGCCCTTGGCCCCAGCCACTTGGGGCCCTCAGCTCAGTCCTGCGTGGACAAGTACCATAAGGAACCAGCCCCCCTGGGCTTGAGTCCCGGCTCTGCCCCCTCCTAGCTCCGTGACTCTGGACAAGCGACTTGTCCTTTCTGTGTCTCAGGTGTCTCATCTGTAACAGGGAGAGGAACACCGATTCACTCTAGGAGTTAATCTACATAAAGGACTCCATCTTTCCGATGCCTCTTCTGGGATGGACCTCGGCGAGCTTGGGCCAAAGGGAGCTGCAGGATGGGTGTCTGGTGGGCTATTTGCCCCACGGCCTCAATTGCTCACCTCTATTTTATTTTAGGCCGTGCTGTTATCAAGCCCCACACCCTTTGGGGGTGTCAATCTATGAAGCCGTCCCTGGACTCTCTCTAGCAGGGGTGGGGAGCGTCCAGTCCGTGGGCTGTGTAAGGCCCGTGGAATCCATGTCCGCTAACCTCACACGCCTCACCAGATGAGCCTGACCACATACAGCAGGCTCGCTTTCAGTCGATCATTCTGTATGGCCCGCGAATGATGTTATAAATATCCAAATGGCCCCTGGCCGAAAGAAGGTTCCCCACCCTTGCAAAGAACTGTGTTGGTGCCGAATCCATCCTGAGCTCTGGCTGCAGGAAGACAGAGGGGCCCGGGAGTCAGAGGACATGAGCTCCAGACTCTGCCACCGATGAGCTGGGGGCTTGGCCTGGCTGGCTGACCACCAAGGGCCCACAGGGCTGAGTGGGAGCAGCTCCAGGCCCTGGGAGAGGTGGCAGCAAGAATGTCGTCCTCTGAGCCAGGCCCTCCCCAGACCCAGCCGGGGCGCAGTGGGGCTCCGGGAAAGGGAGCCCCGCTTCTCAGAGCAGCCAGGGTTAAGCTCTGGTCCTGACTCCCAGGGTATGCTCCTGAGGAGGGGACCCCTCCCACAGCCCAGCACTGGCTGCTTCGGGGGTCCACACGGGAACAGCATTCATTCATCCAGGAAGTTGGTAAATGTTTACTGAATACCTACAGGGCGCCATGCACTGCCCCGGGCACGGGCACGGTGGCGAGCTGCCCTGTGGCACTTACTCATCTAGAAAGTGCATGTATGAGTGAGGCTGGGGACTGACACGCCCCTCTGGATACAGAGCTTCCACGGAGCCACACCCGCACACATATGTGTGCACACACGCGTGCACACGCACACGCACGCACCGCCATGCACTCAGGACCTGCGAGAAGTGCTCTATACATAAATCGCTCACATGCACCATGGCCGAGGTGCACCCCCCTTGTCACTAGAGGGGCAGAGAGAGGGCAGCCAGCCCAAGTGGGGGTGGGAAGAGAGCGAGGCTGCCATCTTGGTCTGGGTCACTTCCGAGAAGTCTGGGCCCCAAAGGGGGCAGGAGGCCCTGTCAGGGGCTCCACCAGGGACGTGGCCCCCCGGCCCCTTCCCCGCCTCGGGCCAGGCCTGCTGGTCAGGCTCCCCTGCGGACTCCCCTTTCCTGTCATCAGGACAGGGGCCTGGATGTGTGCTGGCCACGCAGTGGGGATGACGATGGGGCGGGGAGAGAAAGGGGCGCCGAGCACAGCTCGGGTGGGTGGACAAGCCACCCTGTGCCCGGCCAGGTGGTGGCTGAGCCTGCAGGCAGCCCCTGTGAGCGGAGGGGACGGTCTGCAGGAGTCAGCCTGGGACCCTCACATAACAACTGTGTGTGCCCCGTGGTGGCTGCAGCTTAGTGAGCATGGACCCCATCCTCCCACGACTAACCACCATCTCATCCCACCGCGGTGCTTTGAGGCCAGGGCTGTGATTCTCCCCATTGTACAGAGGAGCAGCCGAGGCCTGGAGAACCTGTGCCTTTCCCGGGGGCCCACTGTGGGGAGGGGTGCCCGGATCCCCAGGGAGCATCCCTCAGCCACTGCGCAGCCACAGCTCCGATGCCCCTTCCCTCCCTGGGGAGTCCTTTCTGGGGGAGGGGACAGCAGGGCGCTGGAGGATGGTGTGGGGACGCAGTGTCAGTCCTCTGGCCCCAAAACTCTCTCAAAAAAAAAGCCAGGCCTCAGAGGCTGGGCAGGGAGGCCACACAAAAGCTGCCCACAGTAGCCTCTGAGGGTCGCCTCCCTCCCCTCGGGGCTCCTCCTCACCCCCTTCCTATTAAAATGCGGCAGAATCTGCTTCCCAGCCTCGAATCAAAGGCTCATTCACAGGGGCTCTGGCACCCAGGGCCTGGCTAAACCAATTAGGAAGTGGCTCCTCGCATTCCAGAGCACCCAGCCCCGAGATTAAATCGCCTTTGGTTTCCTTGGACACTGAAGCCTGGTGAGGAGCCAGGAGGAGGCTGCCTCCCAAGGGGCAGCTTATGGGGGCAAGCTGGATGCTGCTGCTGCTTCCAGACAGCAGAGGCTGCCCAGGGGGCGGGCGAGGCCCCAGGAACACACACCGAGTGTGTGCGCTTCCCTGGCTTACACTTGCCGCCAAGGAGGGGCTGGGGGCCGCAGCCGCTCCCTGGACTGCGCACAGCCCTCCCCGCTCCCGATGATGTCAGGATGCCTTAGAGCATGACCTGCGCCATCTTCCCTGAATCTGAAGGGACCCCGCCCTTGGAACATGTGCTCACGCCTGTCTGGTTCTCCCTCCTGCCCCACGTGGACACTGCATGGCTGCGGGGAGCAAACCAAACAGGAGCCGCCTGCCTCCTCTCCCTTCTGGACAAACTCTGCCTAAAGCTGCTATGAGCCAAGCAGCACCGGGCTCCATTCATTCTTTGGGCGCCACGGGGTGGACTGCCCAAGGCCAGAGCTCCGGGCCCGCCCCGGGTCACTGGGCGAGCATGCGTGTGGGTAGTGGGTTTCCAGAAGGAGCCCCATTCTTTTCTCTCCAGTATCTCGGGCAGAACAGACGCAGGTCACTGGGACAGTTTCTGGCCCTTGAACCAGCTAAAGTTGCCTGAAACCCCCTGGTAAATCCCGTCCCCTGCGCGCGTGCACACACACACACACACACACACACACACACACACGGAGTGTACCTCCACTGCATTGACTCACACAGGCTGCAAACACCTGCCCACAAGTCCTCCTGCAGGCTGCTGCCACTTGGTCAAGAGCAAACATGGCACCTGGAGCCCTGCCACCGGGCCGCACGAAGGATGAACGAATGAACGGATGAACGAATGACGCACGCACAAAGCTTTGCTCGAACGTTAGGTCTGTTGAAGACCAAACACCTACATAGGAAGCGTGTGTGTTTGTTTTTGCCCTTCTGAGGCACTACCTCCATAAACACGCACTGCGGTGTCGGCCTGTGCGAGTCCAAGGGCGGCACCGGGACAGGTGAAGCCAATGCCACGCCCACATTTCCAGCGCCCAAGGGCTGTGCTGAAGCCAGAGGGCTCCTCCAGCCCGAGGGCCGGGCCCTGCAGGCCGCTACTTCTTCAAACCCAGAGAGGTCACCTGGTCGTCCATGCGTGTCCTCACAAGCAGTAAGCAGGGGGCTGGGAAGGGGCAGGCTTTAGATGTCTTATCTTGACTCTGACCCTAAATGCTCCATGATCGCGCGGAAGCCTCTTTCTTCCTCTGGACCTGTGTCCCCCAAGGGCGAGGGGCTGATGTGGATGAACCTTCAGTTCTAAGATTCCAGGGTCCTAGCTTAGGGACTGAGACTGGAAGCTGACCCTGCCCTGGGGGCTCTGGGCAGGACATACACACGTACCATCCATCCCCCCACCCCCAACTCACCACTGCTGCAGCCGTGTCCACGGCCAGGGACGTCCAGCTGAGGATCAGGGCCAGCAGCCCACAGCACAGCATCCTAGGAGAGAGGCAGTGAGGGGGATCCAGGCAAAGGCGGCAGACAGGGGACCCCATGACGGCTGTCACCCCACCAACTTCAGTGCCCTTCCGCGCAGCATGACCTTGCCCTCCCTGGCCCGAGCCTCGGTCCCTGCCCTGACATCGCCCTGCTGACTGCTGGGACAGGGGGATGGCACCCATCACTTGGGCTCAGGTCCCTGGGCTGGACCGTTCAGAGGGTGTTAGCTAAGCAGGAGCTGGGTGGAGATGGTGGGGGGCTCTAATGCCCGGGCAGGCCCAGGAGGGAGGGACACAGCCCTTGCTTGGCGTCCAGGTAACAAAGCGGTGGCTGCTGTTTGCTCTTTGCTGCGTGCCAAGGGTTGAAAGTGGCTTTAGGCTGTGGCCCCACATCCTTCCAGCCTGGCCCTCAGTGCCCCCTCTCGGTGGCACCGTCACCCCACGTGCTTGCCCAGACCTTTGTCCCAGACCTGCAGGCAGGGCCACTCACAAGGCCAGGAGACACCTGGAGCGCTTGGCCAGTCCCAGGCAGGCAATGAGGCAGATGAGCAGGTCCAGGACGAAGAGCAGGAGGTAGGAAAGCCACCTGGGTGGAGGACGAGGGACGGTCAAGGGCAGCAGGGCGAAACTCCCCCCGAGAGGCCTGAACGGCAGCCCCCAGGCCACTGACCCTTTGTCACAACTGCCCAGAATGGAGGCATGGGCAGAGAAGGGACTTCTCCAGTCCCCAAAGGGAAGTCTTGTGCTCATTATTTTTCCTGATGTAGGAGCCAAACACATCCGGTGACCCCTCCTCTCCTGCACTGGGAGCCTGGCCCAGAAATTCCCCGACTCCACGGGCTCCCCGCCTTCCTGCAGGGCTCCCCGCCTTCCTGCAGGGGACGAGGCCACCAGCCCCTCTGAGTCCGGGTTTCCTGTTTCAACCCGAAAGGTTTCCTGTTACTTCTCTCCCATCTGCAGGAAATGAAGTCAGGGTGGCTTCCACCTCCCTCCCCGGGGCGCGTTCCCACCCCTCGCTCTGCGGCCTCCCTCGCGTAAGGGGTTCCTGGAAACAGCTCTCCGAGGCGGTGCGCCTTCCCAGAGGAGCCGAGGGATGACCTGGGGATGCATTTTCAACCGAGAACTTGGCTCCCCAAAGCCACTGCGGCCCTCCCCCCCAGCCCCTCCCGCACCCGGCCTCTGCTGAAGCTCATGCTGGCTCAGGCCCCTCTCACGCCCCGCCCCTCTCACGCCCCTCCGAGGAGCCTCTCCGGGAGGGTGGTCTGTTCCCGTCTCTTATCACCTCTAATGCTCAGCCAGGCCTTGTATAAAAGTGCTAAAAAATGTCTGCTGAGCCCGGCCGGTGTGGCTCAGTGGTTGAGCGTCGACCCGGCACCAAGAGGTGGTGGTTCGATTCCCAGATTCCCGGTCAGGGCACATGCCCAGGTTGTGGGCCTGACCCCGGTGGGGGGCATGCAGGAGGTGGCCAGTCGATGTTCTCTCTCATCCATGTTTCTATCTCTCTCTCCCTCCCACTGCCTCTCTCTCTAAAATCAATAAAGAAAATATATTTTTAAAAAAGTTTGCTGAGCTGGATGGCTGTGCTCTAGACCCACCAGACAGCAGACGGGGGGTTGTCTGGAGGAGACCCAGGCCCAAGGCCGGGCCTCGTTCTGCAGCAGCTCAGGGGAGAGAGGGGGCGAGCAAACAGCACATGAGGCCCAGGGACAGGCCGTCGTCAGTGTCCAGGAGCCGCAGGTCCTGCCCCGCCCTGAACAAGGATGGGAGCAGGAGCGGGAGTTCTAGGGTCCCTGTCAATCACCCAGACGGAAATGGCAGGTGCTGCCCGGCCCTGAACAAGGATGGGAGCAGGGGCGGGAGTTCTAGGGTCCCTGTCAATCACCCAGAGGGAAATGGCTTCAGGGCAGCTGGCATGGCTCTCCCTCCCATTTTTAATGAAATCGCCTTAATAAGCTCCTTTTGATATATAAATGGACTCATTTCATCCTCGTCATGATCTAAAGGCCCACATTAGGCCCTGTGTGTACCTGGGCCTCTGCTCGGTCCACTCAGAGAATGGCAGGGTCAGAATGGATGCTCATGTTTACCTCCCCCAACCCCTTGTGATAAAAAGACCCCGGATGAAGGCTCAGGCAATGAATGGCCCTTACGTCACAGGACTAGTCAAAGGCCCCTGTTTTGGGTCACGGGTCAGTCTTAGAGTTGGTAGTTTCTTCGCATCACCGGGGAGAAAGGCACCTTGGAGCAGGAGTGCCCATTGGGTGGGAAGCTGAACCGAGGTCCCTTTCGGTCCAGGGTCCCTGACATCTGGGACGGCAGGGCTGGACACCCAGAGTACCAGAGTCTGTGCTTCCCCTGGGCGGGGCCCTGCTACCTCCTGCCCTGCGGAAGGCGAGACCCCAGGGCAGGGAGGTGTCTGGCCAGAGGCCACCACAAGCCTCTTCTGCAGGCTCCGTTCAGCCTGGGTTGGGACTTTCTCACAAAGGGGAAATGAATCCAGAAAACCAGGGTACATTGTGCAGTGCTGGGCTGAGGGCTCTGACCTTTGCCAGTGGCTTGGACAGGAGCCCGCACATCGTGGGGGAGGGGTCCAGAGAGCTGATCTGCTCCTGCTCCACCCTCAGGCCTCCTCCCGGCTGGCCCTGGGGGCAACGCCTGTGCCAACCTTCAGCCAGGAGACACCCAAAGCCCAGGTCACTGCCTCCTTCCTTGGCTCTCCCCAGAGTGACCTTCACTAGATCCTGCACGTAGGGGGAGGGCAGCCAGTGCCCGGTCAGCTGGCCTGTGCCCAGTATCTTCACCTGGGAAGGGTCTGAGGAATGGGGGGGGGGGCAGAGGAGACATAAATGGTCCCCAGAGGACAGATGCGTAGGCATGAGTTTGCACACCAGAGTATGGCAAAGGCAGTGTGGTGCCCACAGCCCCCAGGGGTCAGGCTGGGCATCTCTGGGCTGATAAACTGCCAACAGGGGAGGCGCTGCAGGCAAAGAGGCCACCATGTCCCTGATCCCCTGCACCCCTGCGGCGGAGTCTGTAGGTGCCGGGGGCCCTGCCCCACAAACCTTGGCAGGTGGGGAACCTGTAAACCTCTGCACTGGACCCAGCACCAGCCGGGGGAATGCTGGTCCTGGGGAGCCCCCTGCTGTGAGCCGGGAGGCGGAGACCAGGTCCAGCGCCGGGATCCGGGGCCACAGCACTGCCCTCAGCGCCTGTCTGTCTCGGGAGGCTGCCCCATATGCCCGCCGCTCGGCCCCTCAAGCTCTCGTGGCCTCTGACCTCAGGGGCTTGCTAAGACCTTGTGGCCCTTTCTTGCCTGGGCCCCAAGACGCAGGCCGGGACGAAGGCACTCGCTGCCCCTGCTGTGGGCCCCTCACCTGTAGTACTCCACGTAGCCAGTCTGGTCGGCCAGCTGGGTCAGCTGGGCTGTCACCTCCGTCCACACGGGCACCCCTGACAGCTGGGCAATGATGCTGCCGGCCATCTGCTGCAGGAACTTCAGCGCCTGGAGGTAATCGGCCCGGGCGGCGAAGATCTCACTGAGCCGGGCCAGGTGCTGTTCGAGGTCCATCTCCATCTTCTGGGTGGTTCCGGATACCTGGGGGAGTCTGGGGTCAGGAACCTGGCTCCGGGGCAGGCGGAAGCTGGAGAGGTCTAGCTCTGGACTGTGACTCCGGAGCAGGGCCGTGAGAGGCCAAGGACAGCTGCGTGCGCCTGACAAGTGCACCTCACACACACGCCCCAGCCCCGAAGGGCTCAGGGTGCTGCCCAGATGGAGGACGGAAGAGAGAGGCCCCAATAACCACCCGGCCCCCGTCTCTCCACCCAGCGGACAGGCCCCAGTCTGGCCGGAACCACGACCTGGGCCCTGCAGATTCTTGGAAAACTTCCAACACTTTGGACTGCGAATTCTTTTTTAGAGCAAGGAGTCAAACGAAGCGAAGGTCTCTCTGTTGCTACCTGACGGTTTGTTCCCACAGTAGGATTTCTAAATGCCGCAGGGGAAAGGCGAGCTGTCCACTCCGAGCTCCTGGGCTCGCGCGGAGGCAGGTAGTGGAACTTCGAACAGACAGACCCGGCCCTGCCTCGGGGACACGCGACGGGAGGAGGAAACCAGGGCCTCCGCAGGCTCGCGTCCTGCCTGCGCACCTGTCCTGCGGGCGGACGGACGGGCTCCAGTCCCTTGGCTGGGCCTTCAGAGCCCGGAGTCGAGCGGACCCTGAAGGGAGCAATTTGCTACTAAAAGGTGGGGAGGGAAGGACAATGGCAGTGACTGTCTGGTCGGACAAGGAACAGGGGCAGGGGTATCGGAAAGATGCTCAGACAGCGCAGATGTAGGGTCCCTCCCTCCGGGCCTGCTCGGGGCCAGTGTCGGCAGGAAGGGGAAGAGCTGTCCTGCTCTGAAACTGTCACACTAAACAACAAGCACACTGGCTGGAGGGGGAGTGCGGCTAATCCCAGGCCTGGGACACAGGTGAACAGGACGCTGGCAAGGGGCAGCCCCCCCCCCCACCAGCGCTCAGCAGGAGGCAGATGAGTCCCGGACCGAGGGGGTGGGGCGGCCGCTCTGTGAGTTCCTGGTCCCAGAAGAGAGAATAGCCCTCTTTGTTCCGTCCTGTCTTATGTTTCTACGTCAGCGGCTGGTTCGGCTCCCAGCTTGTGCTGGTTCTCATGAGCTGGTGGAGGACTAGGAGATACCAGAGTGCAGAGATACCTTAGGGATCGGGCAGCTTTCAGCTTCAGAGGGGTGACAACCATGTGGAAGGAAACAATAACTAAACAGCACCCTGAAAAACGGTCCTTTTTTTTTCTCTCCAAATCCTTACCCAGGGATACATTTCCACTTATCTTCAGAGAGAGTGGGGGAGACAGAAACATGGATGTGAGAGAGACACATCGACTGGTTGCCTCCCACATGACCCCGACCAGGGCCAGGACCAAACTGCAACCAAGGTACGAGCCCTTGACCGGAATCGAACCCATGACTCTTTGGACCTTGGCCGAATCTGTAACTGCTGAGCCAAACCGGCCAGGGCTGTCCTTTTTCATTCAATAACATCAATGTAACAATTGCACTGCAGCCCCAGCCCCTGGGCACTTGGTAAATGCTAACACGAGGCACAGACCTTGCTCTGTGCTCCATGTTCCCAGATTCCAGACGGCACAGCCAAGGGCTGCGAAAAGTGGTCGGCAAACGTCAGCTGTGAGCCCACAGTCTTCCCTTCCACAGCCCTACATTCCAACTTCGCTGTTTTCTGAAATACCTCCTTGAAAAAACGAAAAGCCAGGAAACACCTGCCAGGCTCTCTTTCCCCCTGGTGTCTTCTCGTAGGAAACAGAACAATGAGAAAACTGACCTACGTGCAGCACCCTCTTCTCCACGCCACCCCAGGTCCTTGGAGGGTCAGTACAGACAGGGCTCCCAGCAGGACAGAGGGGGGCGCCCCAGAAGCGGAACAGGGCTCTTCACCAGAGAGGAGCTCAGCTCAGCTCCCCAGGTGGGGGCGGGGTTACAGGCAGTTAGCAAGTGGTGGAGGCTGGAGTCCCACGGGATGAAGCAGTGGTCCAGGTCCAAGCAGCTGCAGGATGAGCGGCTGGGAACTCATTATAAATGCAAATTCTCAGCCCCACCCAGACCTACAGAATCAGAAACTCGGGTGGGGCCAGCACTCCAGGGGTTTCTGATGCAACCTCTGGGAGGGAGGAAGCTTCTCTACTTAATGGTTTTCCAGAAGGGCAGACACCCTAGGCGTTGAAGGGGCGGGGCCTCGGCAGGTTGCCTCGGAGAAGCCCCAACTCAGATCCTTGAAGGGAAGGGTGAAGACCAAACACCTGGGTTCTAGTTCTTGCTCTGAAAATATCAGCTTCCAGCCTGGGACAGGAACGCAGCCTCCCTGGGCCCGATTTCTCCACCAGAGGGCTGCCCACAGGGCTGCTGCAGGCTCACTGAGAGCCCAGAGGAAACACCAGCCCCAGAACGTGACAGATGGAGTCAGCGGCTTTCAGGGGCGGCAGAGCCCAAGGCCCTTATTTTGAGCTCAGACCCCGAGGGGTGAGAGGTGTGCCTGGTCCCCTAGGTAACTGGAGCCCAGGCCTCCTTCATTGGTGCACAGATGGGGGGCACTGGATCCAGGGAAAGGACCCAGATGACCCTTTATGACCCCCCCCCAATCAGAGCGTGTAGCTGATCCGGAACCCTGCCCACCAGCCTGGGCCTTGAGCCTTGGCCCCTCCCATCGAGGCACAAGTGTGGGGCTTCTGGTCCAGCACAGGGAACCCCGAGGGACCACGGGGCTCTGGCCCAGGTCAGTTACCTGACCTGTTCCTCAAGTCCCCGCCCTCCCAAGTCAAGCCTCCTCTGCCTTCAAGGTGACTATGGTAATAGATATAATTATAACAATTACAATACGTTAGCATAGCCATCCCAATCTGGAGGGTACTTTGTAGACGGCAGGCACTTTCCTGGACAGCAGCTCATCTAACACCATTTATCTACCTGTGTCCTTCACCCCTGTAAGTGCCCAGGCCCTGCCTGTCTGCTGGAGCCCAGCCCCAGACCTCCGGGCTCACCCAGAGGAGGCAGGAGGGGGCGTTGTTGGGATGGAAGCGGCTCCCGCTGGCCAGACCACCACAAAAGCCTGGGGTTTCTGTCCTCACTTTTGAGAAATAGCGGGAGAGGACGAGGGGCTGACCCCAGGGACACACAGAACCCCTCCCTGGGGGAACACGGGGAGATCTGGAGCATCTGCGAATGTCCCAACCTGCCCTGGAGCAATCACCCCACTGGGGTGGAAGGGCCCAGCTGAACTTGCTCCCGGCTACCTCCCTGCACAGCCCCCTCCCCTCCCCACTCCGTGGGATAAGAACTCCAGTGTTCCCATCAGGATGGTCCTGAGACCTTCTCTCTTCCTCAACCGCTGGGGGAGACAGGGCTGTTCTTGCAATGGTCAGGAGTCAGCTCTTGAAGGTCATGGCTGGGACTTCCCTGGGCAGGGGATCCCCTTTGGGGGTTGGGCTCCTTCTCCAGGGTCCTGCTGCTGGTGAGCGGAGGAAAGGGGAAGGAAGAACCCATAGGCGGTAACCACAGGGCTCCTTCCCCCTGGGGCAGAGATGAGGGCAGGGGGCCCGGAGGGTGAGCTCCCTGTGGGCCAGGTTGTACCCAGGACGCTCATGCTGGTCACCCTGCATTCAGCCCATGAGACTGCCCTCAGCTGCCCCATCCCAGACGCTTCTCCCTCACCCTACAGAGCTGCCCAAACCCAGTGCTCAGAGAGCTCTCAGTCCCCAGGGAAGGGTCCCAGGGGACACAGGTGTGGACGGACAAGCTCTGCAGGACACCTGGGCCCTGGCCAGGCATGTGACCCTCAGCTCCCCAGAAAGTTCTGAGGCTACAGCCACTGCGCCCTGCCACGCTGGGCGCTGATAAGCAGCCGTCTCTTTAAGGCCAGCCCCTCCGGGAGAGCTGAGGGATTAAGGCTCAGAGGAGCTTAGGGAGGAGGGCAATCTGCCTGCAGAACCCTCCTCCGGAGAGCGCAGGACAATGTCCAAAGGCTCGGGTTGGGGCTGCCCTTCATGACGGAGGCTGACACACGTGGCACCTGCTTAGGCCCCCCTCTGCTGGGCCAGAGGGGTCGGGAAGGGCGTATATGCCAGGACCGGTCTCTCTGAAAGCTGCCTGCAGCTGCCTGCTAGGGGCACCGGGGCTGCCTAGAAACCAGCCCATACCACCCAGGAAGGCGAGGCACTCTGGAAACCACCCTCCCAGTCCCTGTCACTCGGGTCAAAGGCTCAGCAGAGTAGCTCTTTTGTTCCCTAAAAGTCCGACATCTCCCCCGGCCGGCCCAGCACAATCCTTCACCCTGAGCCCCTAGCTGGACCCCCGGTGCCCAGGAGCAGAGCCCGGAGGACACCTGGCAGGGACCTGGGCAGTCTCCCCACCCCCACCACACAGAGTGTTTCCCTTGACACCTCCTGGACCCCACAATCCTCTACACCCAGCACCTAATGTGAACACTGAGACGCCGCGGGCTCATTTTCCAAGTGCAGGGTCTCCGTGGCCCAATGGGAAAGTGCCCGGCTGTCCTGCAGATGAAAGGGATTTGATCCCTCGGCTGTCCCTGCGCCCTGTGCCCCGACGGCTGTCCTCCTTCGGTCCTCCGTCACATCCCTGATGCCCCTCCCGCCCGGGGAGCAGAAACGGCCAGTTTGCTCCTGGCAGGACCAACTACAGCCCCAAAGGGCGTCCAGCTTCCACCCCCTCTCCGGAGCCGCGCTGGCTGGATCTGACTGGGGCCCTTGTTCTGACCACACTGACCTCAAGGCTGCCCCAGCCGGGCCAGCTGCCCGGGCCTTACCAGCGCATCGATCCCGGAGAAGGTGTGGTTCGCGTTGTCCAAGGAATAGAGGAGTTGGTACACTCCGTCGTTGGCCTCGCTGTTTCCATAGAAACCAACACCCACCGCAGCGCTATCAAGTTAGAGGAGAATTTGTTTAATGTACTATTTATTTTTGTTTAATATACTATTTTTCCCCTTTATTGATTTTAGAGAGAGAGGAAGGGAGAGGGAGAGAGAGATAGAAACATCGATGAGAGAAACCATCGACTGGCCGCCTCCTGCATGCCCCCCACTGGGGATCAGGCCCACAACCTGGGCACGTGCCCTGACCGGGAATTGAACCAGTGATAATCTTGGTGCATGGGTCGATGCTCAACCGCTGAGCCACACCGGCCGGACTAATATACTATTAAGAGTAGTTTAGGTTCGCAGAAAAATTGAATGAAAAGTTCAGTGATTCCCCATATACCTTCTGTCCCTCAATTTCCCCACCATCAACAGCCCCTGCCCGAGTGGGACATTTGTCATAGCTGGTGGACCTACATCGACACACCCTATCACTCCAAGTCCACAGTGGACATTCAGTTCACTCCTGGTGTCCATTCCATGGGTTTGGACAAGTAGAATGACATGTGTCCATTAAGTGTCACAGAGAATAGTTTCCTAAAAATCCTCTGTGTTCCGCCTGGTCATCCCTCCCACCCCCTAGCCCCACCCCCCAGCTCCCACAATGTCACATGGTAGGAATCAGCCTGCGGCCTTTCCAGATCGGCTTCCTTCATGTGCTGAGACGCACTTACGTTCCGTGGCGGTTCGGGGCTTGCTGGCTCATTTCTTTTCAGCGCTGAGTAATATTCCACTGTCCAGATGGACCACAGTTTATCCCTCATTTACTGAAGGAGGGCTCGGTGGCTTCCAGGTTTTGGTGATTATGAACAGAGTTCGTCAAATGTCCATGGAGAGTGGGTTTTCCACGTCAGCTGAGGGACTCCTTCCTGGGGGTCGGGGAGGCATGAGTCTCAAGTTCTGGCAGGCGGGGTGGGAGGTGAAGGTTCAGGGCCAGCTTGTCCCTGCCTGGCCGCCTAGCTCTTACAGCTCCTACAGTTCCTTCAGGTGGCCGGAGAACACTCCTGCCCTCCAGTCCTTCCACGCCTGCTGGCCCGGGACCCGTATCTTTGCCGGTTCCCCCGGGGACTGACACAGGTGCGCCTGGGGACCTGAGATCTCCTGAAACCACACTTGTCTCTCTCGAAACCCCCAGGAGTCGGGGACTCCCCCTCCACTATCTGTTCCTTCCCCTCCGTCCTCACGTCCCTCTGTGGCGGCCTGTCCCACTGAAAACCTCCAGCTTTAGAAAGTTCCTTCTTGTACTGAGCAGAAGCCCACCCCTTAGCCTAGGCCCCCGCGGGCTCCTGGGTATCCTCTGCAGAAGCCTGAAATAAGCCTCCAATTCTGCAAGGCACCCCGTCAGACACCTAAATGTGTCTCCATGTCACCCTTTCCCTCCTGCTCCCCAAGCCAGACACGTGTCCTGTAGACTGTCTACATCATCGCCACCCTCTAGGATCCACTCTAAGTGGTCAGCGTCGCCCTTGAATGTGGCCGCGCAGGGCGGCGCCCAAGCCCAGGCTGTCCATCCGGTTTGAGCAGAGGGTGCGGGGTGCTGATGTCCCGAGATCCTTCTCTCCCACCACTGGTCTGGTGGCCACAAACACCTGGATTTCTTCACAGGAAAGGCCGTGAAGCCCAGTCTCTCCTCCCTCCTGCAGGGTTGAATCGGTCTTTGTTTTGTTTTAACCAAAAGTAGAGCTTTAGCCCTGGCTGGTTGGGTTCAGCGGTGGGAGCGTCGGCCTGCGGGCCAGAGAGTCCTGGGTTTGGTTCCCGCTAGGGCCACGTACCAAAAAAAATAAATAAATAAGTAGAGCTTTAGATCGAGCTGTGAAATTTCATCTGGTTGGTTTTAGTCCAACATTCCAGGCTGAACAATCATCTCAAATCTTTTTTTTTTTTTTATCCTCACCCGAGGACATTTTAGCATTTATTTTCAGATAGAGCAGAGGGAGAGAAGGAGGAAGAGAGAGAGAGAAACATCGATGTGAAAGGGACACATCGAGTGGTTGCCACCCACACGACGCCAACAGAGGCCGGGGATGGACTGCAACCGAGGTACGTGCCCTTAGCGGAACCTGAACCCAGGACTCTCTGGTCTGCGGGCCGACACTCTAATCGTTGAGCCAAACCGGCCAGGGCTCATGTCAAATCTCGCCTCTGTCGTCCATCGCATGTTCCTGACCCACTCCGCTGGGGGCCACTGGACCGTCACTAGGCAGCCCCCGAGTTGGCATTCAGAACACTAATCCCGGGGGCGGGGCAGACGGAAACACATGCACACGTGTGCGCTTTACTTCCCACTCCTCTGGGTGCTGGGATGGACCCCGGAGGCCGTGGCGGAAACCTTCCCGTGCTGGGCAGCCCAGCTGTGTTCCTCAGGACGTGGTCGGAGGACCGCAGGACAGAGGGCCCCGAGTGCCGGTGCCCAGTGCAGGTCAGGGCGCCCCCTGCGCCCACGTCTTTGTGGTTGAGAGTGTGCCTTCCCCAGGACACCGGGAGCTTCGGGGATGCAGAAATGGTACCGTCACATGGGCCCCTCTCCCCGGCACACGCAGAACACCAGGGCCTCCTCCTGTGCTGCGTCTTCCTTCAACGGCAGGTGATTATCACTAGAACTGACCCTCCAGTCACTTGTACTGCTCCACAGTATTCTTCTGTCCTTTGTCCTGTTTCAAAAACTCTGAGTTCCACGCGGGCTCCCGAGTGCCAGCACTTTCTTTTCTTTTCTTTTCTTTTTTTTTTATCCTCACCCGAGGATATTTTTCCATTTTTTGTTCAGATAGAGCGGGAGGGAGAGAGAGAGAGAAACATCGACGTGAAAGGGACACATCGAGTGGCTGCCTCCCGCACGACCAACCAGGGCCGGGGACAAACTGCAACCGAAGCACGTGCCCTTAGCGGGAACCGAACCCGGGTCTCTCCGGACCGCAGGCCGACGCTCTAACCGCTGAGCCAAACTGGCCAGGGCGCCAGCACTTTCTTTCTTGTCTGTCTCATGTCCCGCGGCTCCCTCCCACCTTCTGCGCTGTCTCAGGAGAGGGCTCTCGGAGTCCGCGGTTCCGTAGAGGGGGCTCCTCTCTGTGGGGACACACGCTGGTCTTGAAACTCCAGTTCTGGGCTAGAAGTCTCTCCGTTAAGTCTGGGACGGAGCCCCGGCCGCCTGTCTCGGCTGCCCGGGTCCTGCGCTGTGCTCACTGTGCGTCAGCCCTGCGCTGCGGCAGGCAGGACAGGGGCGAACACGCCCTCGTGGAGAAACCAGTGGCGAGGTGAGCCTGCTGGGATGAGAGCCCCGCGTCCTCACCCCAGGCTCGCGGTGTCCCGTCTGCCTGCCCTCCTGCTGGGGTCACTCTGCTGTGGGTTCCCAGGTGCAGCGGACACCAAGCAACAAGGGCTCTCCCCCCGGAGGTCTCAGGGGGGACTGGAGGCTTTTGGAAAAACCTCTGTAGATTCGAAAACAAGGAAAATGCAACAAGGCACAGCAGGGCCAGCGTGCGCGTGGACACGGCCCGGGCAGTGCTGGCTCCTGCCTGCACTCAGAAATCCCCGCTTCTCCATCCAAAGCCAAGAAGCCCGCTGATGCACTAAGAGCTATTGATCTTGCGAGGAGGTGGAATCGATCTGGGCTGGAGTCAGACTTCCTCTGACCTCACAGACCCCAGGCAGCAGCGGGGAGGGGACAGGGGCTCAGAGCAGAGACGCTCAGGGGGCAACCTGTGGGGTTGCCAGGCACAGCCCTGCCAGGCTGCACAGGCTCACAGCTGGGCAGGGGACGGGGCACACTAGAGGGGCCCCCATCACCACTCCGGGCATCTGATTCCCATCGCCTGGCAAGAAAAGGGTCCACGCTCACCCTAGGGGCAGGCTGTCGGATCGAGGACATCAGTCAGGAGAAGGTGGCCCGAAGCTGATACTCCAACCACTTGGGGTTTGTTGGGGGGCTGGTGGCAGAGGGTGAGGAGGGGTGCCATGGTCATGGGTTAACCACGGGCAAGGCACAGGTGCGCGGGCCCACTTTCCATCCCGAGCCCCTTGCTCTCTTGTACCCCGAGAACCCTGAGCCCAGCGCAGAGGGACACTCACCAGCAGACGAGCCCGGCCACCACAGCTGACCAGATGACACAGCAGGACTTGTGCCGCTTGGTCTGTCTGCGGCAGCACGCGCAGACCAGGTAGGCCAGAAGGAAGACGAGGTTCAGGCCCAGGCAGACGGCGGCCACCAGCCCCGGGAACAGCAGTGACTGCGGGGAGAGGTGTGGTGTCAGCACTGGTCCCGTGGGCGGGGAAGGTCTGGGAAGTGCCCTGCCTTCAGGCCCGGAGCTCCCACGGGGCTATGGTGTAGGAACCAGGACCGAGTGGGGTGTCTGCCGGCCGTCCTCCAGACTGAGTGAACGGTTCTCCCCTGTGGTCCTCTGAGGGGCAGGTGAGGGACGAGGAGCAGCTGAAGGCCAGCCCCAGGAGCGTGGCTGACGCCTCTGGATGAAGACACGGACTAGGCCCTGCCCAGCGAGATGCTCAGAACCACACATGGCAGGCGGCGTCCGCTGGCGTGAGGGCTGTGGTGACGAGTGTGACGAGGGAGACAGACAGGAGAGGGACATCTCTGAGGACCAGAGCATCGAGGCTCCTAGACATGTCAGAAGCTCCGTGGGACCTGGCCCAGGCAGGAGGGGATGGCCGGGTGCATCTGCTTCCTCCGAGCTTATCCCAGGTGTTGGTCCATCCAGAGAAACAAGAAGCCAGCCACTGTGCTAAGGGTGGGCAGGTGTCAGGTCATGTACCTATGGAGTTCCTTTCACCACGTCCTCAACAGGACAGCAACCCCCAGGTCCTTGACCCCCAATGCTGGCAGCAAAGCCCAGAACCCTGAAGAGGGTAGAGGTGCTGTCTCAGGTCCAGTGGGGACCTCAGGTGCTGTAAAGGGAGCTGCTGTCTGTCAGGAGGCCTGTGCCCCACTCCATGCCCTCCAGTCTCTGTTCAGCCAGATGGCACCAGATGGCACCAGGATTGGTGGCTACCAGCCAGGACTGGACCTGGCTGTAAGTCAGGCTCCTGCCTCACTCAGCTGCCCATGTGCCCCGAGTGGGTGCTGGTACAGGACCCCCAGCACTCCGGTCTGGGCTATCAGAGCGGGAGCCTGTTTCGGGGACCCCCATGCTGGTGGTGGCAATCAGCAGAGTGGGGGAGATGCCAGGACCCTTCAGGTCTAAGGGGGAGACAAGCCTTGTGTAGGAGGCAACCAGGAGAAAAACACCAGGGGGCAGTTCTGAAAAATCAGAGGCTGGGGCTGCAGTCCTGGGGCCCGGGCCATTCTCCGGGGTGAGGACAACTGCCTGGCAACTCCCTTCCTGGGCCTGCTCAGCTGCTCAGCTGCTCAGCTGCTCGGCCCTGGGAAGGCTCCGCTGGCCTTCGGGTCCTTGACTCGACCTACTCTGCTGGTCACCAAACCAAAGGCTTCTGAGCTCTGGGGACAGATGGCCACACTGGTGGGGACAGCCCAGAGGACGACAGGAGAGATGGCTCAGTCAGAGTGGGGGTGAATGTGACTTCAGGTTGAGGTGTCCACCTTCACCTGGGATGTCACTGGTGTGACCAGAACTCGCCTCCCCACTCCCCGCTGTGGACAATAAGCCTCCTCGCGGCGATGAGAAGGCCCAGCGGACCAGACCGTGTCACCCTGCTGAAGTCCTCACGGCACGGGAGGGTGTGGCCCTCGCCTGGACTACCAGGCCTGTTCACGGAGGCCCTTGTCCCGTGAGACAGTTCAAAGGAGCGGTCACCCCCTGCCTCCAGCCTGTGGCCCTCACTAGAGGGCCGTGTAGCCCTAGACCAAGGGAAGGGGACCACGTACACGGTGGGATTTGGAGCCTGGCTGCTCAAAGGCAAGGTCAGCAACCCACGAGCCCGGCACCAGAATGCACTCTTGTTGGCGATGCAGACCCAATGGATCAGAGCTGTCTGGGGACACCCGGGAGGCTCGTGCCCCATTCCAGTCTGGGGAGCACTGGTTAGTCCAACAGACCTCCTCGAACTTTCCCAGGCAGCTCAACCGTTTCTTCAGACAGTCGTGCGGCAGAGCCCTGACCTACGGCCAGCTCCCTCCGAGGGCACGGAATGCCATGCTTGGCCCTGGCCACCCCTCTGCAGGCTTCTGAGGCCCTTCTGCTGAACCCCAGGGATTCCGTTAGCATTTCACAAACCACCGCGCAATGTGCATACCCCACGACCCACCCAGCAACCCCCTTCCGAATGTTCACCTTACAGAAAGAAGGGTTCTGTCCCCCACAGGGTTCCACACACGAATGTCCACGGCAGCTTAATACAGTGGTCAGAACAAACACTGAGAACAACCCCAAATGTCCACAAGAGAAGAGATACAGACAATGGGCTAGAGCCATGAAGTGGAATACTACACAGCCACGAAGAGTAAACTGTAGCTCCACATGACCATGTGGATGGATCTCACAGAGTTAATGCTGGAGGAAACAAACCAGACCAAACAGCAGAGACGTTATGTTTTGACTGATAAGAAACGCAGTCAGAGAACTGCATCTGAGTGAGAGGTGGGACTAGCCGCTACCTTCGGGTGGGTATTAACTGGGAGGGAGCCTCCTGGGGATCAGAACTAGGCTGTGGCTGGGAAGATGTCATGCACACATTGGGGTGCACACCTGTGTTCACTTTCTTGTAAATTGCTCCTAGAGAGGAAACAAAGTAACAAACCCAGACAAACCTTTTGTATAGATTAGAGAATAGTTAACATCCAGACTTCCTTCCAGCTACCTTGACTTCTAGCATGCCTCTCAATGTATCCCAAACAGGAAAATCCACGGACTCGACCATGTGTCCCCACCCCGCAAGGAAGGGCCTCTAAGGAATGCCAAGGGTGGGTTGTGCCATTTCAGTCTGTCTCCAGCACAGCCATGCCCACCTGCTGAGTCCCTGTGCTGGCTCTTATTTCCTGCTGGGAACCCAGTCCGGGGTGCGGCTGGCAGGGCCTCTAGGAGCTGGGCAGCTGGCCTCAATTAGGTCACGGATAATGCAATCCGGCCCCGGGGAGGCCATGCTGAGGTCTCCCTGTTAGCAGTTTGCCTCTGGAACTCTCCCAGGTACTGGGATGACAGGGTGGGACAGGGCAGAGGGGCTGGGAGGGGAAGAGGAAGGGAGGAAGGTGGGGGAGGAGGGAGAGGGGACAGGGGAGGAGAAGGGGTGCAGGGGGGAGGGCAGTAGAGGGCTAACCAGCAGAACCATCCCCACAGCCACCTGTCGCCTCTAACAGGCGATTATTTTCCTGCTTCTAATGAGCACTGCCAGCCCAGGTGCACGGGTGTAGGCAGGTGGGACAGCCTCCCGCTGAGGCAGCCAGTTCTGCTCACACTGTCCTGCTCTGCCCGAGCCTGGAGAGGACATCTGCCATGTCACCCCCCGTCCTACTCAACACCTTGCCCACTGCCCCACCTCAGGGCTCAGTCCCAGCCTCTCTCCTCATCAGAGTGACTTCGCTCAGTTCTGGGTTGAGAAACCCAGAGCAGAAACCCAGGACCCAAGCTGGGGGCAGCAGTGACTGATTTGCATTCTGGGAATGCTAAGGCTCGGACTGGACCCAAGGGGCTTTGGTACTTGGTGGGGGAGGGGTGACAGCCTGAGCTTCCTTTGCCCCCAAACCCCAGGAGACAGAATGAGCCAGCCCAGGGGTGAGGCCAGGGGGAGGGGAGCAGGAGCCCACGGGTTGGGAAGGGTTAAGCACCACCACCCAGCTCCCCCTTTCACCGTGTCCCCCCAGGGTGGAGGCGGGTGGGGTGCGGCGTGATTGTCCGATGACCATGACTCAATGTTTAGACTGGATGAATGGAGCTTCCTTATCCCAACCGTGGCTCCTCTCAAATCCTTCCTGGGGGCCTCCTGCCCGCCTTTCCTCCTGAGACAGCCCCCCAGTCAGGGAGGGGTGGGGGAGCCCCCACTCTGTCCCCTCCCCTGGCCTGGGGGAACACACTTGGCACTCTCTGGGGAGTCTATAAACAGAACCACCGAAAGTTCAGACATGAAAATACATGCCTAAATATAAAAGGTTAAGAACGCTGCTTCTTCATGCACGTCCTGTAAGCCTGTCGGTTAGGAGGGAGCTCAGGAAGCGCATGGTGACAGCGGCGGAGTGAACATGTGCACAGCATTCCGGAGCTCACGGAGCCTGCACATTTCAAGTACATGGCTCAGCGTCTGGGCTCCCCGTGAGCAGGGGCAGTGAGTGGTGGCTGGCAGCTGAAGGAGGCAAGTGGAGGGCTCGTTCTGGGACACAGCTGGAGGAAGGTGCCTTTTCTGTTGTCCCCCACTCTGCCCCGTAGACCCTGGCCAGCTGGGGTCCTCTCCTTGCCAAGAGGTGCCTGTGGCTATTTATGATGAGCCAGGCCCTGGCCACACGCTTCATATTCCCTGACTTATGGGGCCTTTCTGCAGCAGGAAGCGGCTGCACCTCCACTCCCGGCCTGGGAAAGGGAGGAGACAGGCTGGGAGCTCCAGCTGCTTTCCCTCGGGACATGCAGCCCAACAGAGAGCGAGGCTTGGGCTCAGGGGGGCCGGGCTCCCTCCGCCACCCTGCTCAGCTTGCCTGCTGGTTCCGGTGGTGCCACCTCCCCACGACCTGAGCGAGGACTCAAGGTCAAGTCCGCTGAGGCGGAGGGGTGCAAGGACACTGTCAGGGGGCTTCCATTGCTCCCCAAGACCCCAGAAAGTGAGTAGGAGCCCCTGCTTCCTCAGGGAGGTGTGGAAAGTGAGTTGCATTTACCAGGAGACCTGCTTGTCAGGCACCTCTACTCTTTTAAGACCCGCCCCCCTTGCCTTCTGGGGCCTGCACAGCTCATCTCCCAGCCCTCCTCCAGGCCTGCTCCTGCCCGCTTCCATCGGCACTTAGTCTTCGGTGTGTACGCGCGCACACACACACACACACACTCCCTGCACGATAAGCCAGAGCTGTTCGTTTTCGCCTGTGATGTTCAGTCCTCTCTGGTGTTTGTAGATTTCTTCCGTCTCCCCTGTGGGGTGTGCACTTGAGCACGTTGCTGAACCTCAGCGTCAGTCGGAGTAATGATTCCAAGCACTCGGCCCTACTACGTGCTATGGGACTCTCTATGTACTAAGCATGTTACATGGGACATCTCGTTTCCTTCTTGCAGGTGAGGGAAGTGAGGCTCAGAGAGGTACAGACACTTGCCATGGTCACACAGCAAGTGATGAAACTGGGATTCCAGCCCAGGCAGCCAGATGGCGGAGCCCCAGCCCCCGGCCCGGGCTGCTTTGGTCATCATGTCACCGCAGTCTGGTGGAGACCTCGCTTCCAATCGGTCTGCTGAGCACTGAGGTGACCGACAGCAGAGGACGCCTGACCGTGGCATTCCCCGGCCTGCGGCCTGCCTGGCTGACTGCTGCTGGGGGAAAGGGGGTGTCTGGGAAAGACAATGGTCAGACAGGGGAACTTACCACAATAGGACTGACCTTCAATAACACCCAGAGCCACACTTCCCATCCTGGCCTAGCTCATCGAACTCATCTCCTCTGTGTCCTCAGGAGGCCTAAGTGGGACAAGGACCGTGGGTGTGGGCTGGGTGTCCAGCTGCCCAGGAGCAGTGGCCCATAAGGAGGGGATGCCCTCTGGAGTCATCTGATACCCCGCAGTGTGCCGGGCTCCAAGCCCTGGTAGGAGCAGGGCGGAGCTGTGAGTGGGTCCTCCTGGCTCCGACGCCACCTCTCTAAGGGAGGATGAGGCAGGCTTGGGCGGTGCTAGCCACGCTGCTGGACAGACAGGTGGTCCCTGGGGGCCTGCGGGGCGGGGAGTGCCCCACCGCCCCTGCCCACGTCTGGAGGTCTGTCTGACCCAGAGAGAAGATTAGATTTCCTCGTGCTCAGAGGAGAAACTGATGCTTGGAGATCCCGGATGCAGGGCCTGGGGCGCAGAGTTTGGGACACACACACACACACACACACACTCATGCGTGCACAACACAGCTGTCTGAAATCATATCCGCCTCTCTTCACGCGCTCCTGGGAGCGGAAGATTGCCGGGAGGTCCCCAGGCAGTGGCGTTCTCTGGGACAAGACTTCCACAGGCAGGGCTCTGGGAGAGGGAGGGGCAGGCGGAGGTTAGGCCAGCCCTCCCAACTGCCCTCTGCACCCCCAGGCAGGGAGGGTCCTGATTCTCCCACCTTCTGGAAGGGTGGCACCATCTGCCTGGGGCCTGAGAGCGACAGGGGTTATTATTAGACTCCCCGTCACCTTACACTGCACCCCACCCCATCAGGATGCCCAGCCCGGGCCTGCAGAAGGGCCTGGCGCGGAAGAGGTGAACAGCTGTGATTCCAGGCTCAGCCTCCGCATGCCTGACTCCCCACACAGGGAAATGGTGCTCTGAGAAGCCGACACTGCAGGCAGAGGCCCACGGGGGTCAAAGTCCTGGAATGGGCCCCGTCTGGGCTGCCCAGACTGGATCTTTGCCCCGCAGAGAAATGACCTGGGCCGGGCTAGACCTGAGAAGCTGGAAGATTCTGTGACTGCCAGGGCAGGGAGGTCTAGGGAGCACCCCTCCCCCCACGGGGTGCAGAGATCACAGAGGGAAGGACCAGCAGAGCAGGGAAATAGCAGAAGCGCAAGGGGGAGGGAAGTGGCTGGCCAAGACCCTGAAAATCCAGGGCCTAGAAGGTGGGGGCAGGAGGGTGACGCTGGTGAGATTGGGCTGACCCGGGGCCACCTTCCTTCCCGCAAATATCCCGCGTGGCTGTGGGTTGTCAATGCACCAGAGGGAAGGCACCCTCATCACCGCCCAAGCCCTGCAGCCATCCAGGAGGGGCCCAGGAAGTGCTGGCTGCGGCTCCCACTCGGCTGGGGAGGAGGGGTACTGCTGGCCGAACTTGGGGGAACAGTTTCCCTGTAAACTTCTTCCAAGCCGCCCAGCCCGGGGAAGACAGCGCTCGTCTGGAAACCGCAGAAGGAAAACTCCGGGAGCCCCAAGCGGGAATTACCCGGGTGCAGGCACGAACACCCTCACCCCGCCCCTGGCGGCCCGCCCTCTGTGCGCTCGGCCCCACCCCCCAGGCCGCCTGTGCCCGAGCAACTCCTATCCTTCCAGTCTGCCCGGCCCACGAGGTTCCCGGGCCCGAGGGCCGAGGGCTGCGGGTCCTGGGGGAGGAGGAGAGGGGTGAAGGGAAGGGCCCGCAGTGGAGGGGGGCAGATCTGAGAAGCTTGTAGCGGGGTGGGCTGGGGAGGAGGACGGGTGGCCCGGGGCCGTGGCCGGCGGACTCACCTCCTGGTAGTTCTCATCGCGGGGGCTGAAGGTGCTGTTCACCCACTGCAGGCGCAGGCCCAAGTGCGGGACTCTGTGCAGCCACACCACCCACCAGGGCGCGACATACTCCACGCGCGCGGCGGCCGGCATGTCTCAGCCCCGAGAGCCTGCTGGCCGCGGCCGCCGCTGCCGCCACCGGCCGGGAAGCGCCTGCCCCCGGCCCCGCCCCACGCTTCGCCCCGCCCCGGGCCCGCCCCACACCTCGCCCCGCCCAGGTCCCCGGCCCGCCCTAGTATTGGCCCCGCCCCCGGGGCGCCCAAAAGCTGCTGGACAAGACGCTCAAGAATCTTTGTGTGGCCTGGGATCTGTCCTGGCCCCAGGAGCGAAAGAGGTGGAAGTGGAAACAGCCCCAGAACGCTCTTAAATCTATTTTTTATATACATCTTTAAAAAACTGTTTTTTTTTTTTAATCCTCACCCGAGGACATTTTTCCATTTTTTGTTCAGGTAGAGTGGGAGGGAGAGAGAGGAACAGAGAGAGAGAGAGAGAAACATCAACGCGAAAGGGACACATCGAGTGGCTGCCACCCGCACAACCGACCAGGGCCGGGGACAAACTGCAACCGAGGTACGTGCCCTTAGCGGGAACCGAACCCGGGTCTCTCAGGACCGCAGGCCGACATTCTAACCGCTGAGCCAAACCGGCCAGGGCTAAAAAACTGTTTTTTAAATGATTTTTTTAGAGAGAGGAAGGGAGAGAGCAATATCCTTGCGAAAGAGAAACATGGATCGATTGGCTGCCTGCTGCACTCCCCCCACTGGGGATCCAGCCCGAAACCTGGGCATGTGCCCCACGTGGTAATCGAGCCGGGACCTCTCAGTGCTGTGCAGAGGCCCCAGGCAGGAAGGGCTGCGGTTCTGCTGTTGAGAACCGCGTGGTGTGACCGGAGGACGCTGCACAGGCAGGGAGGGCGACGCTGAGCCAGGTGGAGGGCAGGGCAGAGGGCTGCTTCGGGTTGGGAGATGGGGAGAGTTAGGGGTGGTGAGGGGTGGGGCTGGGGCCCTGGTAGCCAGTCTAAGGGGTGGCAGTGATGGGCTGACGCTGGTGACACAGGAGACCCGGCAGAGACTCCCAGGGTCCCAGCTCCAGGAACTACGTGGGTGAGGGTCTGGAAATGCCTGCAAACCCCCAGCAGCAGCCCACAGCTGCCCCATGCTGTCGGAGCCCCAGGGGCCGGGAGAGGGAGTCCTACTGTGTCAGGGCCTCTCCTCCCGGTTGTCAGTCTTGGGTCAGTTCTCTGAGCCTGACTGGGGCCATGCCCCAAACTGGGGCACTCGGGCCCAGTAGGCTGGAGACGACTGTTCTCGCATAGGGGTTTTCTTTCATTCAAGAAATGTTGAGCACCATGTCTGTTCTAGGGGGTACAGTGATGAATAAAACATACCAGTTCCTGTCTGCATGAGGTCTAGAGTCTAATAGGTGAGGGGGGCAGCCTCTGATCCCACACAGAGTTCCTGTTGGTGTGTAAAAGGGGGATGGAGTCTGGGGGGCAGGGGGTTGCCAGGGATGTTTCCTGAAGAATGACACAGGTGAGAGCTGAAGGGTGATGGAGAGATGACCCAGAGGTTTCGGAGCAGGGGGCAGTAACTATGACATCAGGGGCCACGGTGGGCAGAGGGTTGAAGGGGAATCTCATGGTGCAAACCGGAGTCAGGGGAGTGACAAGAAGAGACGGGAAAACTGCAGAGAACCATCAGGGGCTGGGGTGCAGGAGGACTTTTTGAGGTGATAGAAACACTCGTTTGCAGCGGTGGTCACACAACGGTAAATATCAAAATTCACAGAACTGTATACCGAAAAGGGTGAATGTCACTGTAAATTATATCCCAATGAGCCTTACTTTAAAATAACAGCCAAAGCCTGCCCTGTCCCTGGAGCCTCCGTGACAGGCACAGCCTGGTGCCACGGACACCGGTCCCCTCTCCCTCCATGTCAACAGCACAGAAGGCAACAGCTGCGGGTCCTCGCCAAGGCTCCCGAAGGACTGGTAAGTTAGTTACCGGGGCTTAGCATTCCTCTCGGACGGAAGATTAGAGTCACAACTGGGAACTGCCAGTTCTTTACGAGGGAAAGGAGGACAAGAGACCAGGGACCCCGAGTGGGAGGGGTCTGCCTCCTGGTAAGTGGGAGGGTGTCATGCCTTTAGGATTGACCTTGAATGTGGTGCAGGGCAGCCTTTCCAGTGCAGGACCAGGTCCCAGAGAGGGAGTGGGCGGGGAGGGGAGCCTGCACACTTGAAGACTCAGCAGCAGAAGCTAGCAGGGCCACCAGCACAGCCACCCCGGTGCAGTGGGATACCCAAACCCAAACCTGCTTGGCCGGTCTGCACTCAGCTCCACAGCGCACTCTAGCGGCCTCCCCAGTGGCCTGCGGGCTCAGACAGGTGAGTGGTGGAGCAGAGGCGGGACCAGAGCTGACCTCACAGGGACTTGCTAGGAGGTGAAGTGAGACCAGCACCCCTGCCCTTTCCAAACGTGCCCGGTGGCCTACCCGGCACAGCCAGAACAAGCCCGCCCATGCGGGCAAGCGGACTTCAGCGAGGCGGGGGTTGGCCCTGGCCACCGCAGGGTTTAAAGACATACTGCGCCTCAAGCCAGCTTGACCGTACTCTCTGGACTCAGCCTTGGCCACCATGGCAAATTTTATTTCCTATTGTATTTATTTTTTAATCCTCACCTGAGGATATTTTCCCATTATTTTCAGGTACAGTGGGAGAGAGAAACATCGATGAGACACATTCATTGGTTGCCTCCTGCATGAACCCAACAAGCACCGGGGATCAAACCACAATCAACGTACGTGCCCTCGACTGGAATTGAACCCACAACTCTTTGGCTGAGGCTCTCACCACTGAGCCAAACCAGCCACGGTCACCATGGCAAATGTTTGGTGTCCCAGATGACTCCAAGGCACAAGCCAGGGCCGAGAAGCGTGGCCTGAAAGGACGCATTCTCTAGACACGGAGGGCTGTCTCCTAGGAGCTGGGGCGTCTCGGGGACAATGTGACCGGACAAGGGGAGCCCAGCGGGCACACCTTCCCTCCTGGGAATCGGCGTTAGAAAAATGGGGGACTAAAGCCACTGACAGTGCCCATTCGGGGGCTGTCAAGTCACTGAGTACCCGAAGGAAACAAAATCACGTCTCTCCCACCCTTAACTGTCACAGAAAAACCGCCGCAGGCACTTAGCTACTTGGAGTGGATCGTAAACCATTTCCACGCTGACCTGGATGACTGCTCATTTGGAGTTTGTCTCCACCTTGTGGTCAATGCCGACATGACCCCATCTCCGGCTCCCAAATTTGCTCAATGCCAGGAGCACTTTTGAAACTTGGTATGTATTACTACACTTAACCCTTAAAATAAACTACTGAAATAAGTATTAATATAGGTACTTGCCGTAACAACCTGGAGAGTGAGTAGTGTTGGGAAAGGCAGCCTGGCCACCCCCACCAGTGCTGTCGCGCCTTGTCCCTTATGCGGGAGCAGCCTAGTTCAGGCTCACCAAGCGTGTTCCCGTCAGGGTGCTCAGAGGTGAGGTCATCTGTCAAGTAAGGTTAGTAAGTGGTAGCACCAGGACTCGGGCCTGGTTGGGAGCTTAACTGCCTCACACTGGGATCCGGGCCTCCATGCCCCAGTTCTAGTGCATGACCCCCCCCACGACCTCCACTGCCCGGAGGCCCAGCTGGATTTCATAGATGGTCTTGCGGCTGCGAGGTCTCCGCTCCTGCTTCCTTGGGATGCTCGGCCCTGTCGCCAAATGCACTCGTCTGTTCTCAGCCATCAAGGTCCCCTCTCCAAGCCCGGTCCCCGATTGTCCTTCCACCCTCACTGCCGTCATCACACCCCATACCCCACACCATACCTGGACTCCTTCACTGTGAGCAGCACTTGGGAAACGCATCTCAGTAGCACCACACTCCAAGGATGAAGGCTTAGCTCGGGCCCTTCCCCAAGCGGCTAATCAACTGCTTAACTATCGTAGGGTTGGGGGTTTGGTAGAGGAACAAATGTAACCTTGAGGTCTGCATTCTTCTGACCTGGTCAGCCAAGGATCAAAGTCCGCCTGTGGACAAGGTTTGCCTGGAGGGTTGGACCGCCACCTAGACTCAATGTATTGAATGTGAATACATAAGGTTTGCATGTCAAAAGTTGGAACAGTGCCCAAGAGAAACAATGGATGATATGCTCAGGTGCGGATGGGTTTGTTTTGATGTATCTCCACTGAAAAAAGCCAGGGGCAGGTAATATACTAGGCTTGGTGGTCAGCAGAGGGGCCATCTCAAGGAAATAATTACCTAAAACACCATGTAACCTGGGGAACCACTTTGCAAATAAACTGGGCTGCACCCAGAGGTGTGGAGCGTTTGCTCTCTTGTGCGGCCCCTCCTCACTCCTAGCAGTGTCTGCTTGTAGTCCATTGTGTCGCAGCGACCTCCAGAGAGCCGGCAACTATCATTCTGGACCAGGCAGCTCATTTTACTCAAGTGACTTTTAAATCTCCCGAGTACACACTGGCTCACTTCCAAAAACATCGGGCTCTTCTGCCTATTGCCATCTATTAATTTTCGCACTTCGGCTAAAACAAGAACGGCTTTACTTGTCCACTGGGACCACAGCCCAGGATGAGGGGCGCAAAGAGGCTGCCACCAGGACCTCCATCCCGTCCCCCGCAGAAGCCAGCACCGCGGAACACTGCCCTCCAAAGACAAAACACGTGGAGAATTTTCAACATTTTAATACAGATCAGCGCGTCTGGTTCACTTCAGCTCCTTCACGGCCAAGCCTAGAGCAAAAGAGCAAAAGCACAAGTGAGCCGCCAGGAGACACTGCCGCCGGTCTGGGCTTTGTACTGAATTAGGTGGAAGACGGCTCTAAAACCTCAGAAACCAAGCCCACCCGGAGGTCTTGTTTAAAATAGTGTTTAATTAAAAAAAAAAAAAAAAAAGCGCCTGTCGGCCTCGATAAAGAGTCCCAGCGAGCTCCCACAGGCCGAGCGGTATGGTACTGGCTGTACTGGTTAACTTCTCGCCGTGGGAGGCGGCCTGTGTGCCCCAGGGCAGCTTCCTCCAAAGCGCCCAGCCCACCCCCACCGCCGGAGCTCATCCATTTCCCACCTGTGAAAATGGGGACCATCAAAAGCCAGGAGCTGCCCAGTGAGGACCAAACGAGCATCACACAGAGTAAGTGAGAGTCACCACTCTGCCTCAGAAAGCAGGAAGGAGAGCGAAATCGAGTTGCCTTTGGTCAGGGAACCAGTTCTTGGTACCGCTGCAACCCCCAGGACCATCCCTGGCACCAACAGCAAGGGCAGATGCGCAGCCCACAGGACTGTCCTCCGCTTGGGCCCGGCTCCGGCTCACTCACCCGGGGGCAGGGACTGCTTCAGCTTCTCGGCCTTCTCTTTGTCCGTGATGACCAAGGTATAGAGGTATCTGCTGCACCGGACTTTAAACTTCACGTTGTCCTTATTTTTCTTGATCTTGACAGCTACCAAACAGACCAGAATCAACACTTTAATTGCATCAAGACACCCCAGGTTCACCCGCCTTCTACACATGCAAAGTGGCACTCGTGACCGCAACCGTGGACGAGCTGTGCTTGTCCCCGTCCTGCTCCTCCGCTGAAATAAAAACAAGATTCCCCGTGACCCCAGTATTTAAAGTGTCAGAAATCTGTATCTCCTATATGTTAACACTCAAGACCCCAGGGGCTTAACCTTAATTGGCTTGTTTATGTATCTGGTACACTGAACACATCCCAGGACATATGTCTCCATCTTACTCTTCGAAGGAACAGAAGCAGTTTACAAAGTAGGGAGAGGGGGTATCTGCTGGGGTCTGCATTGGGGCAACGGGAGCACAGTGAGCGTGCGCGGGCCTTCTCCTGGCTCTTCACTGCCACCCAATTCTACCTCAGGACCACGCTCGGACCACGAAGAGCCCCAAGTGTGGCCCCAATCCTGCAGCGCAGGGTTTGAAATGCACGAGTCCGGTTGGGGTCAAGTGTCAAGGCTTCTCCCGCTGCTGGAAGACTGCTTCCCGGGGGCCAGTCACTTCAGAGCCCACCAAACCCCACATTCCAACTTCCTTACAAAGGCAGGAACCCGGCACTATGGAAACCAGTCAGGTGGCTACGAACTGAGCAGGGGCCCTGGCGCCTCAGCCCAAGCCCGCAACCATTCCCACGGCACAGCAGCAGCACGGGCTCACTTGTACCCACAGCCCCACTTCCGCCAATGGTTGCTAAAGGGACAGGGCACGCACCAGGACGCTGAAGCACGTGGCTCCGAGCCCGCACGCGGCACTGGCGCCTTGGCTCATGTTTGAATAAATCCAGTAACCTGGACATTCATTCAAACCAACCCATTTTGCTACCGTCACACGCCCCCTAAAGCTAAGAATGCTGCACCCGCATAAACACTTGTGAGGCTGATGCCTTAGTTGCACTTCCAGTAGACGCAAGAGCCGAAGGCAGGGACAAGCAGCGCTGTCTGCACACCAGTGTCCACAGGACATCGTTCACCGAAAGGTGCAAAGCCCTGAAATGTCCACAGCAGCACGGATGGCTAAGCAAGACGTGGTCTACCCGCAGCACGGGTTCTACTGCCCTGAGGGCACTGTGCTCCTCGAGAGCGCCAGTCACGAAAGCACACTGCCGGGCCTCACTTCAGAGGGTCCTAGGAGAGTCAAACCGACAGAGAAGATGCACCTGGTGGTCGCCAGGGGTGGAGGGAGAGAATGGAGAGTTACTGTTTAATGGTCCAGAGTTTCAGCTTGCAAGATCAAGAGTTTTGGAGATGCAATGGGAATGTACTAATTCCAGCAAAACATACACTTAAAACGGTACATTTGCCCTGGCTGGTTTGGCTCAGCGGTTAGAGCATCAGCCTGGGGACTGCAGGAACATGGGTTCGATTCCCTGCCCTGGTGGGGGTCGTGAAGGACAACCAATTGATGTCTCCCTCAAATCGATGTTTCTCTCTCTTCCACTCTACCTGGAAAGCAATGGAAAAACATCAAGTGAGGATAAAAAGCAGATAAATTTATATATGCACATTTTAGAATTAAATGATCTCTACCTTCGTAGGACAAACCGTCTAAGATCAGGCTCCCATGCCATTAAAATGCAAATGAACAGAAAGGACTCAGTGTTTCTTCAATGCACTAAGGTCTCTACGGGGTCACCTGCCGAGATCCTTGCACCAACCCCGTGAGACACACAAGACTGTCGCCCCCTCAACACAAGGACTCGGTGTCTGTTAACTGTTGACAGCAACCTACTTATAGTGCTGAGATCTGAACCGGGCAGTGACCCCAAATTCCCTGGTCGGAACCAAGACTGACAGGAAGATCACCTCCCGTCTACTGCATGACCCCAGACCCCTCGGCCACACTGGCTCCTGCGGTCCCCACAGCTGGTCCCCATTCCACACATGTCACCGGAGGGCCGAAGGCAACAGCCTGTTTCAGGTCCCAGGGACACAAACGCGCCCTCCGCCGCCCCCGTGAACCCGCTGGAAGGCCCTCCCCACATCCCTTCATCCCACGGCCGACGAGGAGCATCAGGAGGGTCGGGGCTCGGCCCCACACCGCTCTACTCCTACCAAATGACCTGACTCGCCCTTTGGGACAATTCTCCGTGGAAAAGGAAGATCTGACGTAGCAGAAAACAAGGTGACCCCGCGTTCACACAACGCAAGACGCCCCTGGTACTAAGCACAAGCCCCCAGACCTGCTTCCGCCACAGCAGCGGAACCCCTCCCACGGCGGGGGCAGCAACGAGCACGCGGGGCACCGGCCCAACACAAGGGCGCACGAAGGCGCTCGGACGGGTTTCTAGACGTTGACGACGGAAGCGCCTCCCGCCTGACGTTTGGGGAAGACGCTCCAGGGTGGGGACCGGCCCCCCGCAAGCGCGATCTCTCCCCTGCCCCACCCCGCGCCCCCCGCCGATCACTTACACTTGGCATCCTTCCGCCTGGCTGTGAGCAGAAAGTCCTTGATTTCCTCAATTTTGCGAGGCTGCAACACAGACAGCGGGGAATGAGCTGCGGCTCAGGCATCTTCTGGGGGCGCTCAAGTCCGCCAGCCCCTTCCGGGCCTCGGAGACCCTCGCGAAAGCGCTCCCGCCCCCGCCCCGGGGCCCGCACTCACCATGGCTGCGAGGAGAGCGTGCGGCCGGCACCTGCGGGCAGACAGACGGTAGCGTCAACCCGGCGGGGACCAACAGTGACCCCGCTTTCCCTTCCCGACCCCCCGAAATGCCGGCCCTAGAGCACTCCACCCTCCTTTCTCGCACCCTCCACCCGGGCCAGGGGTCCGCAAATTTCACCCGGCCGTGGATTACCGCGGATTGTCCCCCCTACTCCCCGATTACCGCCCAACCGGCACTTACAGCAGCGGCAAGAAGCGAGGAGGAAGAAAAAGAACGAAACTTCCGTTTCCGGGCGCTTAAACCCTCCTCCGGAGGAAACTGGATACGGTGCCTGCAAAGGGTCAAGAATTATAAAGGCGTTCGCCCTTCCCATTGCAGCACCTCTGCCCCCTTCTGGCCTAGATTAGTCGTGCAGCTCCACGAAAGCAATGGGCCGCCTCCCTCCTCCACTCCCTTCCCCTTTCTACTCCCAACCCACCGCCTCCAACCCTTAGCTTTGCTAGATTTCATTGTGGATCCAGTTTGAAGACAGAACACTTATATCTACTACTGTCATTAGCCCCTGCTTTGGGCATCTACACAGAGATTTTTCTCATTAAGTGAAGGGACCTTCTTCTGTATATTTTAGAGCCTCTTTCTAGGGGTTCCTTTTCCGCGGACATCTAATCTGTCACAGCAGGGCCCTCTTTTCCATTTAAGGGAGTTTTTCCTCGTGCCACTTCCAACTCTTGTAAGAACTGGTGCCCGGTGAAAGCAAGCATACGCTTCCAATAGCAAGGTTGTCCTTACCCGTGGGGAGAAGAAGGCTTGTCGGAGCTGGAAGAGGAGTCAGGCTTGAGCCCACGCTGCTTGGATCCCCAGCCCAGGCTGCTGAAGACTTGGCTGTGCACCCCAGTCTGGCAGCTCCGGGAGGGCACCGTTTCCTCTGCCCGTCGTTCCTGCCCGCCTCCAGCCCACGCTGATGCTGTTTGCTTGGCACATAACGACTGACTCTCAGCTCTTACATAACGTCTCTTCAGGCGGGCTCTGGGAAACCCATGGTGATCCATTTTATTTTTATCCTCCGCTTTTATTTCATTTTTAACCTCTCTACAAATGTCTGTGTTTTATTATATTTGTTTCTTGCAAATTTAATAACTGCGCGACAGAATGTAATTGCCTTGTGCGTTTATTACACTTGAAGAGAGAGTCCTTTACTGTGAACTTGACCATGAACTCACCCATCTCCCTTGGGTTAGACAAGCCCAGGCAGAGCATCTTCCTGGGGTGCTGGGATACAGGGAAGAATAAACCAACAGGGATAGCCGTAAATTCCTCACTGTACTAGAGAGCCTTTTAAAAGAAGCCAAACTGTTTCTGTAACTATGGATGCGACTGGGTGTTTACAGTGGGAAAAGTGAATTGATAGGGGCTTCCTTTTAGATTGTCTGAAGGTTGGGGTCCAGGCTGAGAATAATGGGTGCCTCAGTCCTGAGCTGAGAAGGACATTCCTAAGCCCTCCGCCTGGCTTTGCCCGCCCTCCTCCATTTCAGACCGATGCCTCTCTGGTCTGCTCTGCTCACCACGGGCAGCGTCCTTTGGGCCCAAGCTGCTGGCCTCCCAGTGCGCTGGGCTCTGACTCCAGGAGCCAGCCTGTGCTGTCCCTCTGTGCTGTTCCTCTGATGCTCACCTGCCAGGGCTCAGCTCCCACCTGTCCTTCAGGCACGACCCTGCACCCCCGGCTCTGGACACTCGGCACTTGCTCAGTAGTTGCTCACACACACCTCTCGACAGACTGCAGCAGTGTTAACGTTTCATATGTCTGTGCTGGCTTTTCTTTGAAGGCGAGAATGGTGTTTCACAATCCGTGGAAAGCTCTTGAAATGCAGCACACACACACACACACACACACACGTGTGTGTGTGTGTGTGTGTGTGTGTGTGTGTATGGTTGGTGCTCAATGCTGACCTGTAGGATTCTCAAGCTGGACACAGCATCAGAGATCACTAACTCTATGAAGGGTGAATTGATTGACGAAGGGATGGAGAGATGGGGAGGGAAAGAAAGAGGGATGGATGGAGGAAGGGAGGGAGGAATGGAGGGTTAAATTGGACAAAGCCGTGCCCCACACATGGTAGGTCCACAAAAATATGTGGTGAGTGAATGCCTGGTGCTTCTCCCCACTGCAGGACCCTAGGACAGGGACAGGGAACAGCGGGAGGGGCTGCACCTCGCTTTTGGCAGAGACTCCAGAGAGACAGATGTTCACCCTTTTGCATTGCATAATAAGAGAACATAGATGTGTAGTAGCAAAACACAAAGGAGAATTTGTTCAAGTACCAAAGGTTTTCTCCAGGGGGGATGAATTGCAAAATAAACGGCAGCTACTGAAAGGCAAGGAGCCTGGAGGGGACGCCTCCCACGCTTCAGGGCAAGATGAGCCCCAGAGGCCATGGTGCGGCAGCCACGCTGGCAACCAGGGGACCAAAGCCCTGGCCTCGGTGACTGGAGCCCAGGAGGCTGCATTTGACAGAAACGTCCCTGGTGATGCTGCTACACACACAGCGTGGAAAACTCTAGAAGGGGCCAGGGTGGACCCTGCAGGATGGGAAGGCCCCGGATTTGAGAGCAGGGCATAGCATGGGCCAGTTTGCCTGTTACAGGGCCCTCGGCTGTGAAGTGTGGGGGATGGGTTGGAATATCCCAGCCTGGTGGCCATGGGAATGGTGAGGGCTGTTGTCACTATCCAAGGACCAGGGAGGAGGGTCTCCACCAGGGGGGCAGCAGTGGTGTCAGAGAGCTGGGAATGGACAGAGGGCATGTCTGGTCTGTGGGAAGCATCCAGTTCTCGCCTTTTCCTTCTGTTACCTGCGGGCCCAGGGCCCCTGGCTGGGTCAGGCACACAGCCTCCTCCTCCCCCAGCAGGCACCGCCCTGGCCGCCCATGCAGGCGAAATCCGCATGTTTTCAGGGCACCAGGATGGCCGAAGAATTAGCACTCGACTTCACAGGGGGACAGGGGCAGTAGGGTAGGTGGCATTGGGATGGGGCTGGGAAGATCTCCCCAGCCTCCGCGGGTGGGGGGCAGGAGTAGAGGGTGGGCACCCTAAGTTGCCTCCCCCACTTTCCACCGCTCTGTGTGAGTCTGCCTGGGTACCCGTGGCTGGCCCACTGCAGGGGTCATCGCACAATAGCCCGCGGCTGCTTCCAGTCTCGCCTTCTTCACTTACTGGCTTCTAAAAGCGAGGTGTGTGGGGTTATGCTACCTCCTCTCCTTCCTCACTGGGCTGCTGTGAAACCCCAGTGGGATCATTTAAAAAGCCAAAGTCGGTGCCATCCTGACTTCCCCCAGGTCTGGAGTAACGCCCCTGCCCTGGGTGTGATGTCCCAGCGTGGCCACACGGGGGCGCCAGGGCCATGACTGGAAATGGAGAGCAAGCGGCCCCTTTCTGCCTTGAATTCCAAAATCTCAGGCTGTGACTACTTATATAAATTAGAGGTAATGTTTGTAGAGCATTTCATACCTGACAGGGTGCTTTCATATCTACCATCTCATTTAATCTCCAAGAGGCCCCCGAGGGGCCCATGCATTTGGCTGCCGGCAGGGCTGGCCTTTAATCATCTCGGGTGGGAGTTGTTTATTAAATCTTGAAGGTTTTCAGCAGGGGGAGAGCCTGGAGTCCTTCTTGCTGAGCTGGGCTACTTGGGAAAGGATGAGGAGGAAGGGAAGAAGGCAGGTGTGCACACTGGGGCTGGCGATTGTTTGGGGAGCCCACGATGGCGAGACTAAAGGAAGGCCGGTTACCCCCTCCTCCAGCCCCCTGAGGGCCACCCGCAGCTGCTGACCTAGAGCTACAAAGCTGGCACCGGAGCCGGACTTCTCGGACTGGGCACCGTTGACCTCTGGATGGGTGGGGCTGTTCGGAACATTGCAGGACAGTTAGCAATTTCTGGGCTCTTCCCACCAGACGCCAGACCCTCACACGTCCCCTGGGGCAGAGTGGCTTCTTGTGGAGAGCCACGGGACCAGAAGGGCCAAGCCCCAGAGGTATTCATCGCATTGGGTGTCTGTTCCGTGACTGTGGCCAGGCTGCCCAGTGTCTTTGCACCCCATGTCACCTCTCACCTCCGTGCCTCGCCCTTTCTCCGCGACGCAAAGGGTCAGCGTCCTCTGCTGTGTCTGCCTGGGCTCCGGCTGGCTGGCAAGGTGCGGCGCGGGCGGGGGTCACGAGGAGAAGCCTGAACTTTAGGAAGAGCACTGTCCTCCTCTGTCGGTCGGAGCCCCCTTTCCAGCAGGAGACTGTGTGCAGGGGCTGGGGGAGGGTGGAGCAGGAGAAAAGGTGCAGTGGCCCCCTGCCCCCATTAAGGGGCCTGTAGCCTGGCCGGTGTGCTCAGTGGTTAGAGCATCAGCTCACGCACCGAAGGGTCGAGGGCTGCATTTCCAGTCAACGGCACACACTGGGTTGCAGGTTCCATCCCTGGCCAGATCCGGGGGTGTGTGTGGGAGGCAACGGATCGATGTGCCTCTCTCACATCGATGTTTCTCTCTCTCGTCCCTCTCTCGTTCCCTCCCTCCCTCCATTTCACACTCTCTAGAGATCAATGGAAAACATCCTTGGGTTAAGATTAACAACAACAACAACGAAAATGGGGGTGCTGTAACCGGCAAACGCCCACCTGCCCAGACGGCTCGTTGACTGATTAAATGGATTCACCCGATTTTGGAGAGCTCCTAGTCAACCAGGCACTTGCTAGGTCTGCTCCCTGTCACAGCGATGTCCTTTGACGCACCTTTGTGTCGCTCTGGCTTTGTGCCAGCCCCTGGGCAGGTGGTGAGGATGCAGAACTATGATCCTGTCGGGTCTCCGGCTCCCTCTCAGGGAGCTCCCAGATCACAAGGGAGGCAGTGGGAAGGCAGGGCCATGTGTACACTGTGGGGCCAGATGGGGGTTCTGGGGGTGGGGTGGGCCCAGGGAAATCCTGCAGGAGTAAGTAACAGTGATGCTGATTCACGAGGGAGAGAACCCACCCAACACGCTCAGAGCGGCCTGCCTGGAGGTGAAAACCCTCGCAGCATATACGTTCCAGGGGGGCCGGAACGAAGAGGCAAACAGACTGGGTGGCATCAATCCAGGGGGTCTTCCTGGAGGAGGCATTGTGGTAGGATGGGAAGACAACTGTTCCTGGAGACAGTCAGTCTTGGGGTCAATTCCTGTGTCTCGCTGGGAGAACTTGACAGTCTCCTGGTGTCTCTGAACCTCAGCCTCTATTGAGAGGTACTGATCCCCCCTTCCACA